ATAGAAACTTTGACGGTATGATACTATAAAAGATCTGTACCCCTAGCACGAACCAATATCGAATTCGTATCGTTTGCGAGTCCGAAATGTCATTTTCAAATGTGTACTGGTTTTTAGTTCTCGTTACGTACTTTGTGCCGCTGCTGTTCTAGTTTCCATACAAAATTTGACATTGACATTTCGGTTTGCAAACTATTCGAATTCGATAATAGTTCGTGTTAGGGGTACTGTTATCATTAATGTTTAGGCCTCTGGACGCAATTTTAGGCTGCAATACAAAGCAATCTTTTTATTTTCGCCCGCTTCTTGGAAATCAATCGGAACATCTTAATATTTCGGGATGACCGGCTAAGCTTGGTGCCATTGATCAATTGTAACAAATGGATGATTGACCGTTGGGCAATCGAGCTGCAAGATTCGTGTCAAGGAACCAAGGTATACGCAGACCCTAGATGGGACCACAATGGTCCCTAAATGGATGTTCATTGATCGTTTTAGTGGTACAATACATACGGTACTATTAAAATAAATAGTGAACTGTGAAGAGAAATAAGATTAAAGTTCCGTCAGCTCTTCCGCATCTACAGAAACTAAGCCACTTGCTACTATAATACCCATTTTTTGTTTGTTAGGGTTCCGTAGGGACAAGGAACCCTTATAGTTTCGTCATGTCCGTGTCTGTCTGTCCGTACCCGGTATTGCTTGAAGACTGTTGCACTAGACAGTTGTAATTTTCAGGATATATGTACATCAATCATGCCGACAAAATCGTAGAATAAAATTTTGAAAAATATTTTAAATGGGTAGCTCCCCTACATGGAGCCTGGAGATGATTTAATTCTTTCATCATCTACCCCAGTGATTTTCAAAGTGCTCTTTATCGACCCCTAGGGGTCTATGACAAGCTGCAAGGGGTCTACGTCAGCGAAAAAAAAAATCAATATCAGGTAAGTAGGGGGTCTACCCAACACGGAAAAACATGGCACCCCTTGCCCATTGTCCTTTACCAGTTTACAAAACAAATGAAATTAGAATTTTATAATCTAAGGCCGCGTTGTTTCATCTAGTTAAATTTGACTATAGTTTATGTCACGACTAAAACAGAGTAAATGTATAAAATTTTGACAGCTGGTCATTTTTCTCTTGTATTTTATCTTCAGTCATATTTAATTATGGATGGAACAACGCGGCCTTAACATACTAAGTACTTACTCAATACGCTATAAACATTTTTGTTTACGCGCGGCCTATAATGTTCATTATCATCAGCCTATTAATGTCCCCACCGCTGGGGCACAGGCCTTCCCTATGGATAGAATAGGGAGATTGGGCCATGACTGCCATGACTCACCACGCTGGCCCAGTGCGGATTGGTGGGTGCTAACGACTGCAGATCCAGCCGCTGCAGACTTATTTATACCGTTACTTTGTGAGAAAAATAAATGATTTAATTATTATATAATTATTTCAAAGGATTAAAAAGAAATAGAAGAAAGAAGTCAGTGACTGAACATTAATTTTTACATAAAACATTTCTTTTCGTTCTTTTCCAAAATGAAAGATATACAATAAAAAACTACAGACTACGTACCATACTTTGCCCATAATAATAATTGTAAGTTACAATATATTTAAAATCCTCTTGATAAATCAGTAGAACGCTGTACACAATCAAAACAAAAAAGATGAAAGTCTGACTAAAGGAGATTGCTCAGCTTCCATACATGTTTGGCCTAAAAACCAATAACCATGAAAAATTGTTTCCCAGATTCGAAATTATATATAAATTACCGTAGAAACGAATATTATCGACGGCCACTCCTGAGAACTTCTATAAACCATATACACTGAATGATTTTGAGGTTATGTTTGCAAATAGGCACATAGGTATTAGAATAATAAAAACCAAATAACTTATATAGGAAAATAGGGCAATCAAGCCAAGTACCGATATTATGTATTAGATTCAGGTATATAGAGCATGTAAAATAACAGATAATTGCCTGTTTTTAAAATTAATGCACAAGAGTAAGTTTTAAAATCATGATTATGCCATTGCGACTTTCAGAAGCAATCTTGTTTCATTTGACAAGTGTCTAACACTAATTACACTAACAAAATGCATGTCAAGGAACTGGTACCTGCTTACCTATGTTATGAGAAACATGGAACTGTTATCATAATTTTATAAAAACCAATAGGATATTTTCTTAGTAATAATTAGGTTTATAATGGTAAAAGGTAATTCTAATGTAATAATATATTGCGTAGGTTCATGATAGTTCTGATCAATGTGTGAAATATGTATATTCCTGACATAGCTTAAATATTCTGATAAGGTAAATTAATGAAATAAAACAACTTAAGTACTTTTATGTTGCGTTTAATATTACATATCATCTACATTTTAAATTAAAATATCATCGAAATATTTTATCAATCTTTACAAAATAGATTTGTTTTAATGTTATATAAACAACCTCGATCAGTCTTTGTGAATGTTACTACACCCATAGCCAATAAAAATGATTCGTATGTTTTCCAAACCGGTATAAATAGAAGTCCTTTTTTAAAATTAATATATTATTTAAAGGTGGCCGTTAAAATCTAATAACTGTAAAATAAAGTATAAATTACGTCAAGAATTACTGTATATGTCAATATTTTATTTGCATTTAGGCCAATTTGACCAATCTCCTTTCACGTAGTATCATTTCATGTTACAATCGCTATTCTTCAGTAATAAATCGTTACTTACAATATATATAAAATCCTTTTGATAAATCAGTAGAACGCTGTACACAATCAAAACAAAAAAGATAAAAGTCTGACTTAATTTCATGTAGTATCATTTCATGTTACAATCACTATTTTTCAGTAATAAATCGTTACTTACAATATATCTAAAATCCTTTTGATAAATCAGTAGAACGCTGTACTCAATCAAAACAAAAATGATGAAAGTCTGACTTAATTTCATGTAGTATGTTACAATCGATATTCAGTACCCGTTAATTCTTCAGTGAAATAATTAAAATTTTCGCGTATTTCGGCGTAACTAAGAAAAGGACGTAAAAATACCATTTTTCTTGAGATTCGGAAAGTCCAACGGTCGAATGATAAAATTTAACGCAAATACGCGTAAATACCCCTCTCATAATAGTTTTATTGGATGTAGCTAAACATTAGCCAAATACTTCGATCATTAGATATATAGAAGGAAAATATCACGACAGCAAATGATTTCTTTACGAATTATTATCATCACCAGCCAATGAATGTCGCCACTGCTGGGGCACAGGCCTTCCCTATGGATGGAATAGGGAGATTGGGCAATGTCCCACCCCGTGTGGGTTGGCGGGTCCTACCGACTGCAGATGCAGCCGGGACCAACGGCTTAACGTGCCTTCCGGAGCACGGAGGAACTCGAGATACAAGATTTTGTGGTCACCCATCCTATGACCGACCACTGCGAAAGTTGCTTAACTTCAACGAACGCAGCCGAACGCGCTTACTATCTGCGCCATCGAGCTTCACGAGTCTAAGAATATTTACTCCCATCTCTTAATTTTCGGGCAATAACGCATATCGCGTGCGTTGAGTCCATGATAAGTCCTCGGCGGACGTTCTTTTCAGTATTCTAGGACTTTTGTTCTATGAGGTCAGCGCAGGCGCAGGCCACTTAGGTTCTTGGAATACGGCCTGTTTACAGACGTACGAATCAAAAGTGGAGGCCTTTATATAAGTACTCCCGTTGTCACTATAGAATAGAACACAAAAAAACAATGTAGAGACAACGACTCTACATTTTTGCAAATCATAAGTCATGTGAGTTCGTCAAGGAATTGATATGAATTAATGATTTTTTATAATTTAAAATAATGACAATTAAGAATGTCAATTAAATTTCATGTCTGTCAAAGAATTCAACAGCTTCATCTTTAATTAAAATTAAAAAAATAACGATCGTTAAATTGTGTGGCTGACAGGCACATCGGACACGAATACGATACTGAATATGAAAATAAATAACTAAAAGTTATATGCAAGTGTAATTGAATGAATGAATGAATATTCTTTATTGCACTATTACACAAAATACAAAAAACATAAAAACAAGGGAACGCAAACGCAAAAGGCGGCCTTATTGCTCAGGTAGCAATCTCTACCAGGCAACCTTAGGCTTATTGAAACCAATTTATATTATAATAGAATTTTGCCACTACATGAAGCTATCGTTCCAGTAACTAAACTATCGATGTTTGATTCATGTCGACGCGATAAATAATGATTGGGTATTTTTCAGAAATGCAAATTCATGTATATTTTTTATTTGTACCTATTAACAATTTTGTAGAAATCACGTCTTCTAATTGTAATATTTAAAACTTTAACATTAGTATTTTTTACTAAAGCCGCATTCGTGATTTTCTGTACTCCTGAAGGTTGACTGGCAGAGAATGCTTTTAGCGTTAAGTCCGCCTTTTGTCCATTCTGTAATTGTGGCAATAAAGTTTAAATAAATAAATAAGTAGGTATCATCAAACTCTACACAACCTTTCCTAAACGTAAGCTATGTAGAGTTCACAACAATAAATGACTGATTGAAATTTATCCATTTTATTATACTTCCAAGCTTTAAAAAAACCACAATAACAACAAATTTGAATAAATTAACGATCTGCACCTCGTGTCGAAGATAAAAACTAATAGTATTATCTATAATCAAAACCTCATCACAGCTTTAAATATGGCGAAACTAATTTGTGTTATGGTTATGTATGTTAATTATCGAAACCGGTACTTGCTGTTCAAAAAAAAAACAAAGTCCCCATTTTGCGGTGATTTAAAAAAAGAACACAACCAAAACCTTAGAAAACCACAGACAGTAAAACTTAAAAAAGTTGCATACCAGCAAAACTTTTTGGTCGCCTAATAAGAGTAAAAAGTTTTGTAGTCAAAACAGGTTTCGTCTAGCCTATTTTATTTAAAATACTCACTTAAGGGCGACAGGTCGTCGATTAAATCCATTTCAAGTATTGTTTGCGATGCACAGTTTTCTGTTTCACTTTGTATGGCTGTTTGAGTATGTCATCCATTTCTTTTCACTTTATTTCCTTTCGACATCTGATCCTTTGCAATACATGATAGGTACATATACAAGTGTCACAGCGCACCACACATTTTTCCGTGTTTTTGTATGTAACAGATACAAGATGCTATCACTCCACAACACACTCTCGCGAACCTTAAAGGACCAACTCACCGAAATTTTTAGAATAAAATGCACTTTTTTTTAATGTTCGAAATCAAAATATAACTTAGAATACACGGTTCAAAAGCTTAAAAACTCCTTGGAGCGCGCACGACACACAAAAACATTCGCGAAACGTCATCGACTGAACAGGTTTTTGTTTTTTTTTCTCTCGTGCAGTGCACCACGTGACTGCATCGATTTATCAGTGCGTCGTTCAACGCTACACCAACAGATGGCGACACTGTTAATGAAAAACTGGCTTTAATAAATCGCCTAGCTACCTGCCTATCGCCCGACTGTTTTTTTCCCATGCAACTAACCGTGAAGAATCTATATTGCTATAAATTCCGAGACTTTTATGTTGATTAAAAGCACGTTGCTGCTCACAAACGAGTGATATGTGAAATCGGTGACAACCATGTGACGACTAAACATTACCGGTCTTAGACACTGTTTTAATAAGTTTAAACAAATTTTGTACGACACTTTTTTTATACACCAATTAGCCTATCCCCAAAGTAAGCACTGTACGCTTGTGTTAACGGTATACTAAGGTATCGGATAGAATACATATACTGATACATATATAAGTATATCTATATAGAATTAAACATCCATGTTTGGAGTACTAATGCTCGTATTCATCACACAAACATCTGCCTCCACCGGAATTCGACCCCGAGACCTCTTGAGTGGGCAACTCCTTGAAACTTAGCATACTAACCACTCGGCCACGGAGGTCGTCTAATCCATTATTTCTTGAAGTCGTGTGGAACACATTGTGGTAATAAGGTAAATATTTTAATGTTGTTTTTGAGATTTCGGTTGACTCTACATTTATTACTTCGAAATCTTTTAAAAAACTTTATAAACGAGAATAAAGCGAGTTTGTATAGGTATATTAAGTTTTTACATATCAATTAACTATATGTAATTATGTAAACTACATTAATGCAAAACTTTTTTTGTTTATGCCTTGTTGATTTTAAAACCCAGGACCTACCATGGGCTTAATTTTTTCTAGACTCTATCTGACTATCGAGTCTTTCGCCATTCCTTTAAAAAAGCGACGTGAAGTACCTAAACTTAAAGTATGCGTAAATATATGTACAAAACAATAAGTGCAGCTATGGAGAGTCATAGAAAATCACACTAATAATATAAAGGCGAAAGTTTGTGAGTGTGTGTGTATGTTTGTTACTTCTTCACGTCTAAACGGCTGGAGCGATTTTAATAAAATTTGGTATGGAGTTAGCTGTCACCCTGGATTACCACATAGGCTACGTTTTACTGTGGTAAAATATCTCTAATAAACCGCGGGTAACACCGCGAGCACAGCTTGAAGGTACATAATTTTATGAAACCTACGTAAAGAAAATTTGGTGTAGAGTCCATATTTATTACCAAAAAATAGTAAAACATGCATTCAACATGAGTTTAAGAAAAAAATGTTTAGCAAAATTTGCCTTAACAAGGTCTAAAAAAACAGTTAAAAACAGTGTCTAAGTTTTTGTAGTAAGACCGCATAAGTTTACTCCATTTTTGTTGCACATAATAATACTAGAATTATTAATTTTCAGTAGATTTTCCAATGAAACTAAATTTTGTGGTAATAAAGATGGATTCTACACCAAATTTGTCTTTACGTGGGTTTAATAATTATGTACCTATTATCTATGACTACATAGCTGCACTTATTGTAACCACCACAGGTGCCCACCACAGGTGTATGGGTCGGTAGGTAGGTACCTACTCTTGTCTAAACCTAATATGGCATAAAAAATAATTCCCAGTAGTGTACTAATGGGACATTAATTAAATAGGAAACACTTTTTGATATATATATGTCGGAGAGCGACCATTCGCTCTGTCATTAGTGTTCATGGGCTTCGTGGGCGTCATCAGGGCTTAATGCAGGCACAAAACAAAACAATCACTCAATCACGGTTTGTCTTAACAAACAATTTTAATTACGTAATTTACAAAACAATAAAATAAAAATGTTTCACACACACTTCTTTACTTTAATGAGTACACTTAGATATCCTAACAATCGAGCACAGTGGGTTCAAGGTACCAATCTGACTTCACTTCATAATATTGTAGATGGTACATACAATAAAATAAAATCCAAAGTATGGGACAGAATCCTGGTCCAAAATCCACAGCAAAAATCATCCAAAATAGCCTAGATTCCGGAATTCTTGTGCAAGCACTACTCAACAGCCGCAGTCCCCTGATCTCGAAAGTCCAGAAGCAGTCCAAGTCACATAGTAAAACAAATCTCAGAAAAAATAATACTCATGCACAAGCAACGAAGTGGATATTGATAACAACAATTCGATGACAAGCATGATAGTGACATCTAAAGTTTCTTACGTTAGAAATGTCGCCATACTCTTTTTGTATTGTGGAGATTATTAGTTATGATTTCATTATAATATTGAATGATGTTTCACGATTTTTCTGATAAATAATTAAACATATTTTGTTTTAAACTTTCATGGTCACTAACATTATAGATATTAACGGGATTGTTACCACGTACCTTATTTTTTATGAGTCTCCGATATTTCGGCACTGTTGCAAACGCCATGATCACGGAGTAACTGAAGTAATTGCAGGTAGATGTTATGTATACTCACAGTATCAGATCAGTATTGTGTGCCGGGAACAAATGCGAGTGAATAGTGAGAATGTGACCAGTGGTAGGGGTATCGAACGCAGTAAAAGACTACGTCAGAAGGTAGACCGATATGTCTGCCAATAACATCTACCAGCAATTACTTCAGTTACTCCGTGATCATGGCGCTTGCAACAGTGCCGAATTATCGGAGACTCATAAAAAACAAGGTGCATGGTAACAATCCCGTTAATATCTATAATAAACATATTTTAAGCCTAAAGCGATGAAAAACAAACAAACAATATACTCGAAGTTGATATAATCACTAAAATCACTTAAAATAATAGGCTCAAAAGTCATGAAGCTAAGCCACAATAAAAACAATGTGATTATTTATTAATTCAAGTCAATTGTGTTTCCCTTTGTTTAGTTTTTAATTCTAGACTTAGACAACCGCCCTCAATTATTTGATAAATCTTTTGAAATTATTTTATTAACATTTCTGATAATGACATCTATAGACGCACATAGACGCTAAAGATTTTCATCAACAAATATTTAGCTTTTGTCCTTTTTACATAATGTTTACAACTGATAAAATACAGAAAATAAAGTACAACGAACATAATTTAATGTTTGGTTTACTCTACACTCTACATTGTCATTAGAACATTAACAATTGTTTCAATCTTTCACTATGGTATGGGAGCAACTTGATATGGTTACAATCCTAATTTTCCATACCACAGTATGGAACCCTTTTTAAATCAGATTCGTATTTAACCGGTCTTTATGAAGTAACAGATATTTTTGGGCAACTTCTAGATAGGTTATTTATAGAATTGAAATCCCATTCGCAAGTCAAATATACCTTAGGACTTTATCACTTCATAATAACTTTATTAACTAAATAATTCAGTATATAAAATTCTCGTGTCACGGTGTGCATAATTGAACTACTTCGAAACGGCTCGAGCGATTTTCGTGAAATTTTATATGCATATTCAGTATATTTTTTGCATGTTTATTAGTGCTCTTTCTCTTGCACATCTTTTCTTTTTCTTTTTTCATTCCTTTACAATTGTATTCTTAATTTCTACTGCATTTGATTTTCTTAATATCTTTATTTACATTTTATATTTCATTCTTTTATACACACTTATTTCTAATTGTTTCTATTCTCTCATTATTAGTTCATTTACTTTACACACTCTTAGTTATTTTTTACATTTTTTGCCCTATTGGCCTTTCCCACATGTTGTTGCCCATTTGGCTCTTTGACTTATATCTAATATTTACAATTGTACAATATAAATAGATACAATTCTATGCTAATCGTCTTTATTCCGTTCAATTACTTTCATTACTATGGCCTTACTATATTTAAGAAAGATCTCTCTATCTCTAGTGTTTGTTATAATTTCCTTAAGGTTATGTCCATTTCGATCTTCCTTACGACACCGAAGGCATTCTGCCCGCTCTTTTGGTGGCTGGGTCAGGGTAGGCAATGGTGCGAATGATATTTTTTGTATGGCAAGCGTCTTTATGCATATGCTAGTTTGCCACCCTTTTAACATGAAAAAAACTTAGTGGACGATTTACAACATATACCTGGCAATACCAAAGTAATTTGTAGAACACCCAATGCTAAACTGGGAGCAAATTCATGTTTGCTTCTGGCCAATTATGCTCGCTAATTGTGATATTGTTTTGATGTCAATTTCACATTACGTATTATGCTCTCCGAAAAATGCGATATCAAAATGACCTCAACTAGACATCAACTTATGCGTATTATGATCAACTCTTTAAAATGATATCAACTTGATATCAACTTAAATGTATATTACGTTCAAACGTACGTGCATAAACGTCAAAAATGTGGTACTTACAGGATATGATATTGATATGATCTTGATGTGTCATAGGAATGTTTCAGAATACCATTTAAAAACAAATGTCAACTTGGCATCAACATCATATTGATATCACATTAGGATTAAATCACTAAAGCTTAATTGACCCGCTGGTTGCAGTACCTGGTCCCAGACTATTATTTACTAACGCTCAGTTTTCATATTTAACGCCATCTAGGCGAAACACAAAGTACTTCGATTACTTTGAATGACCATCCACGTTGTTTGTTTACTGCCTGGTGAATGTAAAAAAATATATAAAAAGATCTCAGAAAAATATCACAAAACTTGTTAAACACCCCCATAAAAATTCATTTTATATTCTTCAGATAACTCGTAGTTTTCTATATACATATACGTTAAAGAAACACTCAACTATATAAAAAAACCGACCAATTATACGAGTCGGACTTGCGCAGGAACCCCCTTATTAATAAACAAGGAATAAGCTTATGGAGGCCATACACGTTAGGTTTTGCATGATGGTTTTAACCGTGCATTCTTAACCGATATGCATAACCGAGTTACATGCATCGAAAACTGTACAGTTTTATCACATACACGTAAGGGCTTGCCTGTCGGTTATGCATGTTCGGCTAAAACCATCATGCAAAATCTAATGTGTATGGCCTCCATTAGACTAGTTTCGTCGTGTTTTGTTCATGTCACTCAAATGCCATTTGTCGTTCAATGAACAGAGACAAAACATAGGGTAACTAATCGAAGCTTATTCTTTGTTTATTAATAAAGGGGGAAGAGTTCTGTTATAAGAGTTAAACAAAAAGAGAAGATGCGGTACGCTCATACTAGCATCAAATAAAATATGATCCGACTCAACCACATAAGCAACTCTCACACACGCACACGTCTGTAAATAAACATTTAATCGAGCGAGAGAGACAAAACTATATCCCTAGCACGAACCATTATCAAAATCGAATGGTTTGCAAACCGAAATGTCAATTTCATATTTTGTATGGAAACTTGAACAGCAGCGGCACAAAGTACGTTACGAGAACTAAAAATCAGTACACATTTGACAATGACATTTTGGACTCGCAAACGATACGAATTCGATATTGGTTCGTGCTAGGGGTACTGTTCGCTTCAACGCAGCGAGTCTGCGTCCGAGTCCGCGCGGCTGCGCTGTATTGTTGTCCTTTTCTTGATAACAAAATGGCGATTACGTAAATAAAATTCACGGCAAACCATGATTTCTGAGAAAAAAATAGTTGTTTCAGTTTTACGAATGAAAAGTGTCGCCCAGGCATTTGTTATTCGATTTTGAACTATTTTTGTTCTTTGTAAAAACATCGAAGACATTGTTTTATCTTTATAACATAGAATATACGCAATATTGTTATATTGAGTGCACATGCAGCGTGTTTGAATGTCCAATTGTGCGAATTGTGGTCATGTACCACAATTTAAGCGGATCACTTTAGAGCCGCGAGTGCCGTATCTTCCCTTTTTGTTTCAATCTAAGATTCTGTTCCATTATCTATACAACAATCGACACTATATAATATTGAGCAAAAAACGGCAAAAAAGTCACAAACGAAACAAACTCAGAGAGGCTTTCTATCTCCTTCTTGTGTTAAATCATGCAAACAAAAAGAACTAATAGTATCTGTTGATCTTGCAGTGTTATCTCTTGTATAACGGGTTCCCAAGCTGGTGGTATATACCAACCATCTACCCTATTGGGATATTTTTTAATCTCAATAGCCTCGCGTATCATTCTAGGAATGAATCGTTGCTCAGTTGCAAGATTCTGTGGTTTATCAAATCTAATGTAATGGTTTGGTCCCCCTAATGTATGTTCACACACTGCAGACTGAAAACCATAGAAACAAATACTAAATATTCTGTGAAAATTTCAAGCATCTGTTGCCGTTATTAACATATACCAAAAAACCACAAAAAATCCCCCCTCGTTACTCTTTTTTTAGTATTTATTGTTATAGCGGCAACAGGTATACATAATTTGAGAAAATGTTTACTATCTAGTTATCACGGTTCATAAGGTACAGTAGCCTAAAGCGACGGACTGTCGAGGTCCTGTACCCTTTGGGTACGGAACCCTAAAAAACAGTTTTTCCATCTTGTACTTACTACATCCTATATCTATGGTTTTTACTGTACTATTTGAAACGATGCTACATATTTACCTCGATTTCCCTAGTTTTCCCAGATTTACTCAAGTTTTTACCATGTTTTCCCGGAAAGATGTCAACTGTCAAATACTCCCGTCAAACTAAAACGGTTACCATGGCAACGTGAAACATCAACAATGCCAAAGAAAGGTTGCTGACTTGCCTAACCTTGGTCATTCTTGAAAAATCCTGAGCGGTAAGTGTATTATTTAGTTTTATCAAAGATTTTGTATTAAGTTTGTAAATTACGTATTTAAGATATTGAGCTGTGAGAGAACTGTTAAACATCAAATTTGCGAGTTGCAAGTCATTTAAAAGTGCTTTTCAAAGCTGGGATAGGCGTAATTATTAACATATTAAAGCCTGAAAAGCCTTTTTTATCGCCTTGACCTTGATTTTACTGTAAGAATAGTAAATATTTTTCTTAGGAAATGAGTTTTGAAACTGTTATAAAATAAAGCTGCTTATGAAATGCAAGGTGTGGTTTCAGCCCCTGAGTAAGAATTTGTGATACTTGCTTTTATAAAAAAAAAACGACGGGTTGCACTCCGGGAGTTCCGGCAGAAGTGAAAACTCGAATATTAACATTGTGCATTTTTGATATTTTGCACGAATTGCTTTAATTATCAGTATAAAAGTAGGTACTATCATTTCATTTACATGGTAGAATACAATATTTATTTATTGCGCTATCTTACACAAACATGACAGTTTATATTAAATTTTAAAAAGTTTTTTAAAAATGGTGAAAAACAGACTTTTTTCATTTTACATCACTAGACAAGACTTATGTTTTCTATCTATTACTTCAAGTTAGCGTTTTTTTATTTTTAGAATACAAACACCAGCTGCCATGCCTGAACTCATAGAGCAGATGTATTGTTCTCAGCAAATCGTTATACCGCCAAAGTTTCCATATTTATTGAAGAAGTACTGCAAAGGTATGTAGCCACTCTGTTCACCGAAAAGAGCTAATGGAGATCTTTCCTTTCCCACAATCTCGTACTAAAGACAAAGATGGAAAACTGCGGCACACGAGATAGGGGGATGCCATTGGCTGAGGTAGTCAAGTAGCTTGATATCCTATATGTATTATATACATACTTTATGATAACTATATGTATTATTCTAAAGAAAAGTTTACTAGAAAAAAATCCACGCGGACCAGGCAGCGGACGGGACTCGAACCCGCATCCTTCGCTATCCGGGCGAATGCACTGACCATTATGCTACCACGGCCCTATTAGCCGCGTCGAAATTTTTCTAGCCTTAAGCTGCAAGGCAGCGCCATCTCTTCGCATTATAGGTAACCCACAATGTCAAATGAATACTTTTTCAAGTATTAAACATTTGAAAGAAGAAATAGCAATTAGCCGTGGTAGCATAATGGTCAGTGCATTCGCCCGGATAGCGAAGGATGCGGGTTCGAGTCCCGTCCGCTGCCTGGTCCGCGTGGATTTTTTTCTAGTAAACTTTTCTTTAGATTTAAACATCTAGCAGTTAAATGCTTAAAAAATAAATAAAATTATATGTATTATTATTTATATTTATAACTAGGTATTTATTTTTCTTTCAATGTGTTACAACAGATGTTACAAAAGTTAAGTATTTGTAGTGTGTTTTTGTATTTTCCTCTTTTGGGCAGGCAAAGGCAACAAAGGCCAAACGGCCTCGTTGATAATATTTTTTCACTCTGGTCTTGTGGCCATAATTTCAATTTATAGTAAAGACAAAATCTTAGGAAATACAAAGTGACATCACCAGCCCTAACTTCCAAACTAAATTTTGGCGCGCTTTTCCTTTTGGTTGGTAGACAAAAGAGAAAATAAGCGATCATATTTTTTTTTATAAATCCAACTGACGGACTACATAGAGTTTCGTTTACTTTCGCGTTGGGTTTGTTCACAGCTGCGATTAAGACTCAACCATACGATCTCCTTCGATGGTCCTTCGAGTACTTCAAGGCGTTAGCCGAGAACCGGCCGCCACCTGTGAAGCTTCGCCTGGAGTACCCAGTCTTCAGTACGGAAGGTGGTCTTACCAGGGGATGTCTTAAAGTCATCGCCAATCAGGTATAAGTAACGGCAACATACTTGATTTTGCTAATAATATAGATGAATAAGATTTGGGTCAGCAAGGTAAAGATATGTGTTTACTCCGTGCATCAATAGATGGCGTTGTGTCAGTGTGACCTGCACTTTGAATTTGTGTATCAATCAATTAACTTATATATCAATCTGTCAAGTATCCATAGTGTTTACTTTGTGTGTCGACAGATGGCACTGTATGATTTTGATTACTGGCACTATCCAATTGTTGCGTATCATTCATTTAAGGATGCCGTTACATTTTCAAATGAGTTTTCCACTAGATCAATCTTAAACTATCATTTTGTTCCACACACAGCGTGTATATTTAACATGAATGAATATTTAGTGAGAGTGATTTCACTATTCTGTCAAAAAAAAAAATTATAATATTATATTACTAAGAATCATAAAATGACCGAAAACGCCTGGGATTGGCGGAGTCTAAATGGCTTCTTCTCCTATGCAATTCTTACTATCATTTTTTACCGATATACGCAACAGAATTATTAATATCCACATAATGGAAATAGACAGCTTGTTCTTACGTCCGATAGAGGCGTTGCTTAGTTTTCATAGAAAATTTGACGATGCGATACGATTGCGGAGCTGTCAAAATTCGTGCTTTGGGCTCTGAACCGACACGATTTTTTTCTAGTAAAATTTTCTTTACATTTATTAAGTGTTTATTTTCTTTTTACAAGCTGGCTGGAATGACTGTAATGCCTCTTCCAGTCATCAAGGCAGCTTGGGGCGGATTTTGTCTGGACAAGATGGAGTTAAAGCAGATCTTGTGCCTCTGCGAAGTATATACGAGGGAGGACGCTGTCCCTTTCTTGCATTTCATATCGGTAGCTGCAGGATTGTTGACTAAGGTATTTACCTTCTCGCTTATATTTTAATTCTATTTCTATAGTACAGAATAAGCAGCCCAAAAAGGAAATCAGCAAGAGTTTCTAGCAGGTTCTTCTCAGTACAAGGTCTCCCGTTGTAGATTCGCGAACCGATGTCGTAGCTTCTCGACCATCACAAATGTAATAACTTAGAATGAACAAATGGATTTTGAATCGTTTCTTCTACTAATGCCAAAAAGTTTTGAATGTCATGTTCTTTTAAAGATTTCAGCAGATATGCTGCTGTCACATTTTGGCTATTGGTTAAAGATTTAAAGCAATATCAGGAATTACAATAGGTGATGCACTGGCTACATAGTTAGGAAATAATATCGACTCAACCAAAGCTATTTGAAGTTAGCGTTGCCAGGCGTCTGGATAAAGCGGGACATAATTGGGCTTTTTAATTGCATCATCATCATCATCATCAGCCTATTAATGTTCCAACTGCTGGGGCATAGGCCTTCCCTATGGATGGAATAGAGAGATTGGGCCATGACCCACCACGCGGGCCCAGTGCGGACTGGTGGGTGCTAACGACTGCAGATGCAGCCGGGACCAATAGCTTAACGTGCCTTCCGAAGCACGGAGGAGCTCGAGAAAGTAAATTTTTGGTCACCCATCTAATGACCGACCACTGCGAAAGATGCTTTACTTCGACGATCGCAGCCGAACGCGCTAACCACTTGTGCCATCGAGCTCCTCAGCTTTTAATTGCATGTCCAACCAAAATACAAGTAACAAGATTGTCCGGCTTGTTCGGCTTTTGCTAGGCTTTTTACATTTCGCAAACGAGCGAGCGCCGAGCGCAAGCGAGTTGACTGTAGGTCACTTTTGCATTAAATTTTTTGTCGTACTTAATATTACTGACTGCCGAAAATTTTAGCAAAACGTGCGGCCTAACTAGCTGGTCTTTCCGGCTCATGGTGATGGACCGGCTGTTAGGTTTGGCGACTTTGCAACCCTCGTTGTAGTTGAAGCGTTACTAACGTTAATAAATTTTACACTAAAAACTAGCTGACCCGGCGGACTTCGTACCGCCATGAAAATAGGGGCAGGTGGTAGAAGAGAAAATTTTGGGTTGTATGTATTTTTTAATACCACAATATAAAAAATTAAATATTGTATATAAAAATTTTTAGGGATGTGTAACGTAGTGTTCTATCAATTTCCTGGGATAACATTCCTCCTAACCCATATGAGACACTACATTACAATACCCAATAGTTTGAAATTTGGCGCGAAGGCGCATTGTAGGTTTCAGAACAGTACGTTACAGGTGGACAACAATTATTGAGGATATGAAAAATAGATAGGTAGCCGATTCTCAGACCCACGGAATATACATATAAAATTTCATAAAAATAGGTCAGGCCGTTTCGGAGGAGTATAGTAACTAACATTGTGACACGAGAATATTATATATAAGATATTCTCATGAGCACTTTTTTTTTTATATGAGCGCAACAAATTAACCCACCCTACCTAATGGTAAGTGTTAGGAAAGTCCAGTCGCGTAGATACATAACGCATTAGGCCTGCGATCGTTAAAGTTAAGCAACTTTTGCAATGGTCGGTCATTGGATGGGTGGCCAAGAACTTATTATCTTCAGCTCCTCCGTGCCTCGGAAAGCACATTAAGCCTTTGGTGCCGTCTGCATCTAACAACCACCAATCTGCACTGGGCCCGCGTGGTGGATCACGGCCCAGTCTCCCTATTCCATACATAGGGAAGGCCTATGCCCCTGCAATGGTGACACTCACTCTCGTCCTCTTCGTTCATCCGAAAACCTTCTTTTGTCTATTCCTTCCCACTGCTCCAGCTTCGTGTCAAAATCATTTTGTCTCCAAGCTATTCGTCTCTGGAACGATCTTCCGGAGAGCGTGTGAAGAGCACCCAGTAAACCTGCTTTCAAGGTCCTTGTACGTCAGCATTTCGCTAAGAAGTCATAACAATTTCCATATTATGAACCAACTTCTGGTCAGTCCGACTATTATTAATATTATTTGTAATAGCTTTATTATAGTATTCTTAAGTAAGAATAGTGGTATTTATTATTGTATATGTGTAGGTATTTATCGTATATATAAATATGTTATATATATGTACTTATTTAGGTATATTTATAGATCTAAAGAAAAGTTTACTAGAAATATAATATAATAGTTTAAGTTTAAACATCTAGCAGTTAAATGCTTAAAAAATAAATAAAATCATATTTATAGATGTTAATTATTATATTAAGTAACATGTAGTTTTATCAATTTGATTTTGTTTTTCTTTCTCTTTTACTATAATGCTTTAATTTACTTTACCGCATAATGTCTCTGCTTAGCTCGATGGTTGACTGGTAGAGATTGCCATGTGGCATTAAGTCCGCCATTTGTAACAAAACAATAAAGAGTAAATAAATAAATAATAGGCTGGTGATGATGCTTATGATTGTGAAGAATCGAATGTTAATATTTCTTCATCAGAGTCTCACCCACACCATGATCCTGCTATGCGAATCCCTCACCAAGGAGCCAGATGGAGGATCAGCCGCCATTGCTGTTCAAGACTTCCTCACAATGTACAAGTATTTGGCCAAAATCGACGCTTCAAAGGACGTCAAGTATATAGATGGTTATAGAGAAGGTAAGGATGAAATAGAAGAGATGAAAGGTATAATTGGAGAATTATATTCGTTTGCTTCCCTAAATATTGCTGAACCAGAGGTATAAAAGGACTATTTAAAAGACCATTTCTTATAATTTTTAAAGCATGTAACTGCTTGATGTTTAAATCTAAAGAAAATATAACTAGAAAAAATTCCACGCGGACCAGTGTCCGCCGTGACCGTGAGGGCCGCGGTAGCATAATTGGTCAGTGCATTCGCCCGGATTGCGAAGGATGCGGGTTCGAGTCCCGTCTGCTGCCTGGTCCGCGTGGAATTATTTCTAGTTATATTTTCTTTAGATCATTTCTTATCACTCGTATGCCATAAGTGTTTAATATAGCATTTGCATTGTATTGCGGGTTACCTGCAATGCGAAGAGATAGCGCTGAGTTCATCATCAGCCAATTGATGTCCCTAATGCTGGGGCACAGGTCTTCCCTATGGATGGAATAGGGAGATTGGGCCATGACCCATCACGCGGGACCAGTGCGGATTGGTGGGTGCCAACGACTGCAGATGCAGCCGGGACCAACGGCTTAACGTGCCTTCCGAAGCATGAAAGAACTCGAGATAGAAAATTTTTGGTCACCCATCCAATGACCGACCATTGCGAAAGTTGCTTAACTTCAACGATCGCAGCCAAACGCGCTAGCCACCTGCGCCATCGAGCTCCTCAGCTTTGGCGCTACCTTGTAGAAATTCGACACGGCCATTAAGGCCGCGGTAGCATAATTGGTCAGTGCATTCGCCCAGATAGCCGAGGGTGTGTGAGTTCGTGTCCCATCTGCTGCTTGGACCGCGTGGATTTTTTTCTTGTATTAATTTCTTTAGATCTAATTAACATCTGTTTTCCACTCTAGTTTTATAAATATTATGAAGGAGTTGATTGGAGTATGTATATTACAGGTCAAGCCCCTAAGCCTGAATCCATAGCCGAAGAAGAGGCTTCAGCGCCCGAAGAAGAACCTTCCGAGGTAAGTCATACGTTTGTACTCTTTTCCGTCACCACGTTTATATGTACGAGTAGTTACATCAAACTTAGTATTTAGGAAAAGGTGTTCAGTGTTTGTTTTATTTATTCTTATATTAGCGGCAGCCCGCGACTTCGCCTGCGTGGACTTAAGTTTTCTGAGATACTCACAGGAACCTCACTGTTTTTCTGGATTAAAAATGTATCCTATGTCTATAGGAGCGAGAGGTATACCAGCAAAAATCTCTCTAACCTTAACCGGTATGTCGAGAACTGCAGTAAGTTCAATTCTGGAACGAGTAACTAAGGCTCCTATCAAATTTGGCTAGGAAGGGCGGGCAACTCGAGCAGTGAAGGTGAGCGTTAATGCGCTTCTCAAAGGGAGCCTCCTTAAACCTACCCCTTTTTTTTATACGCAGGCAAAAAATACTATTTACAGACGACGGCGCCTTTAAGAGGCACACCACCGAACGGACCTCACACCTGGCTCCCGCAAGTCTTACGGACCCCCCAGTGGCTGACCACCGAGGACCCCGCAATTCTTACGGGCGCTTTACGGCATAATATCCGCTAAAAACCCTGCGAATATCCTCTAAGCTGCTTAGCGCGAAGCCGCGAGATCCCCGTTTAGGGATTCTTCCGCGTCTCCGCACCTAGCAGCCTCCCGGCCTAGCCGGGGCTCCACGGCAGGGGTCTCCCGAGGTATTACGGGGACCCCGCAGACGTGCGCAGGATGGCCCGCGCGTGGGGGCTGGGTACGCGGCCTAGTGCCCACCGTACCGCCCCGCGTCCGATGCGGATGGCGTACCCGTGTAGCTCTCCGCCACCCCCCTTTGTAGGACAGAACTACAAGAGAGGGGCCGCCGTTCCTAGGGGAGCGGGAGAGGGAGCGAAATTCTCCCCATCCTTCTCTCCTCCCCTGGTCGCTCGCGTCTCCTCACCCCTTCTCCTAGGAGAAGATGGGGGATACGCGGGAGACGCGGGAGAGACGAAAGTTGGGGAGTCCGAGCGGCCTAGGCTACTCGGACATCCCCCCCTCTGAGGGCACCCGTCCGGACGCCATCCTTAAACCTACACCTGGGTCGCAAGTTCTAGGAACTGCTCAGAGTTTCTCTTTCTCCCACACGATGGACCCGGCACGGCAAGTTCATCTCTCTTAATCCAGGTCATATGTAAACTATAATATGCGTACCAATTTTCAACCAAACACGTTTAGTAGTTTTTGCGTGATTGAGTAACAAACGTAAAAAAAACAGACAAATTTTCACATTTATAATATTAGTAGGTTTTCATCGAGCTGTGAAACCTTCTTAACCTCTACAGTAGTTTTGGAAACTTTCCATTTTATTGACCACATTACAAAACAACAAACCGAAAAAAAATGTAAATAAAAGATATCAAATGGTCAATCAGGAACTTGCCTCAGAATAATGCTGCCGCAACACGCCATAAAACGTGAAACAGCAAAGTTAGTATTCTGGCAAAGACTGTAATGTCGATACTTTACACTGCCAATCGCATCAGCCACCAGCAAATATAGATAATAGTAGATATATATACATTCTTTATCATTAGGTTCTTCATTAATTGTTTATCATCATCATTACTTTTCTTGGCGTGAGTTTGAAATTCCTTTCCTTTAATCATTGCTCATCCTTTCCTCTGATCCCTAGACTTCCTCCGACGAATACTGGGAGGATACACGAGATATTCGCAGACTCACAGTGATTAACGACAAAGTACCGTTCACGGCACGGTTAAGCTTGAAACTGACAAAGTCCGCCGTTGGAAAGATCGAACGGTCGCCGTCAGTGGAAAGGGAAGCCCAGATCGAGAGAGAGAACTATTCGAGGGAACGCAAAGGTTATTGAAAATGAAAACCTTGTCTCCAACTATCATCATCAGCCTATTAATGTCTCCACCGCTGGGGCATAGGCTTTCCCTATGCGCCACCACGCGATATACCACGCGAGCCAATATCGGATTGATGGGTGCTAACGACTGCAAATGCAGCTGGGACCAACGGCTTAACATGTTTCCGAAGCACGGACGAGCTCAAGATAGTAAATTGCGAAACCAAACCACTGTGAAAGATGATTTATTTTAACTATAGTAATATTACAAAGAGCAAACATTAGTATTTTAGTGTGTTTGTACCGCATAAACTCAAAAACTACTGGACCGATTTCAAATATACTTCTCTACAATTATAGATTACAGGCCCGTGTCAAAAATTGATGGGTCATTTGAACCACCAGAAGACCTATTTAGAAAGATAGAAGGATATTAAATAATAAGACCGCAAAAGCATACTAGCGCACACTGGGTGACCGCGTGTAATAAAATGCTTATTGTATAGAATGCTGAATATTCTTTACTGGACTATTTTTTGTGTTGTCCGAGGACGCAGTTTCATTTTAGGTTCAGACATTAACGGAAAAGGAGAAAACATCTGATTTCCCGCCCGATTCAAATTACCTGTTAATGAAAATAACGCATTCTATCGTAGTCGTCTGTTTCGTCTCGTTTTATGATTAAAATTTATCTTAAATCTCTTACAGGTAGACCTTCTCGAAGTGAAGAAGTCGATGTTAGTTTACTGAAAATATTTTATCTCTGCAGTTATTTGTAAAGAACTTTCTCATTCCGTTTTAGATACGTCGTTTCAGAAATATATTTAATGTTCTTTGTTTAAGCAAAAGCTGGCCGCCATTAGTACCGCCATGATGAGCACGGGTGATGCTACTAAAGAAGGTAAGATTCAATGTTTCTAATTACATACATATTATCACATTTGACGATCTCCGAGGCCGAGTGATATGATGTTAATGCCTTTTGGGTGTCAAGATGTCGCCTACTCGAGAGGGTTCGAATCTCGGTGGGGCAAAAGTTACTATGATAAATACGAGCATTTGTACCTAAGAAATGGATGTTTATAATGTATTTCTGGACTGAAATATACTGATATATGTATCAGTATATGTATTCTATCCATTACCCTAGTATCCCATAACGCAATCCTTTCAGTGGGGCTAGGCTCATTGAAGTGTGTTGAAAATATTTATTTATTTTATTTATCAACCAACGCGGCTCGGATTCTTTTGAACTTTTTGATCTTTCTATTATATCTTTCATATATAAGATGGGTATTCTATAACATTATATAATGATACCGGTACTTCTGTTTTAATAAATATCGTTAGGTATAAATTCTTTGTCAATATTGGTCGTTGAAGCTTTTTTATACGAACGAAATAAACAACATTTTGTGTTACTCGCCTGGATACATAAGTATGACAACTTAAAAATAAAAAATTGTAAAATAATAAGTAAAACTCTTTATTAAGTACAAGACACAGAACTTATACCTACTCTTATCCGATGCAGTAGAAAAAAAAGACATTATGCTGAAACTTTTCTTAAATTACTGAATCTACGCCCTATCCTTTACCCTGGGGACCTCTGAACCATTGGTAGAAAAGTTTCATCCTACTTATTAAACACAATATGAAGTATTATTGCAATGGGGTGTTGCAAAGTAGAAGCTACTTTCTTTAATGGTTGGTCATAAATATGTTTTGTTTTTAAATACTTACTGTGAAGCACCGAAAGAGAAACCAGTTGAAGCAATCCCGGAGAAGAAAGAAGGCATCGAGATATTCGTGTACGATGAAGACGAAAATGAGATTCCATACGAATTCTACGGTTACGCCTTTGATATATTAGTATTTTTTTGTTCAATAGTCATTTATTATAGATATTTTCGTAGTATTCGCTTCAGACACAATCTTTTAAATAGAGTAGTTTACTTAAACCTTGTTTTATACTTAGGCATAAAGGAAAAATTTTGCTGCTTTCAGTGCGAAATTTAGAAATTTTCGGTTTAAGCCCCGCATTGATGATTCAGGCTTTTATCATATAATATTTATAGATTATTAAGAAAAGATTATTAACGGTTAAGATTTTCCCTTTTCAAAGACCTTTTACTGACTTCTCAATTTATATTTCTCACGAATACACGAAATAAGAGTATAGTATCCAGATTTTCCATAACTAAAATTGTCATTTCAAAAACAGTAAAAAAAACCACTAACAAGCTTAAAAATAAATAAATAGGTGAACCTAAAGTTATTGAAGAAGAAGACGAGGCTAATGAAGGGGAAAAAGTAGATCAACCAGAGCACGTTCTAGATACACAAGAGGAAGAATTAAAGTCAACGGAAGAAGAACCGGCTACTAAAGTAGCAGATTTTGTCGCAGATGTAAAATATTTCACTATTATGGGCTTATTTACTAAACATGAAATAAAATTCATTACATTAGATGAAGATACTAATAATTATTTCAACAAACTAATATGAATTTTAAATAAAACGTATTTACTATCATTATGTATGTAGTTAGGTAGTTAATTTACATTTGTTAAAAACATTGTTATCTATTAGCCTTCCAAGTATGAAACATCTAAGTGATTGAGAACTTTCTAAAATTATTGGACTTTTCCTTATTAGGCTAGAGAAGCAAAGCAAGAGAGAATAGAAGATATGGAGAGAACTTTAGATGAGATAGCAGCACTAGTCGACAGATTCAAATCCGCTAACTATGACCTGGGTTAGATGGATGAGTTATTTATTCAAGCCACTATACGATAATTCATTTAATGATGTCGATTCTGGCATGGTTCTCTAAACCTAAACTTAGATTTGACAACAGTGTATCCTTGTCATTCTCTATACAGAACGAAAAGGAGAGACTGATGTTAAATTCAATTTTAAGTTTAGAGATTCATGCCAGAATCGACACCAATGGCTGTTATTGCAATTTTATGTAGAATTTTCTTGGCTTCCATTAAACACATAAAAAATAATTGTGGATTTTCCATATATTTCAGATATATATTGATTCCGATCAAAAATATAATTCATTGTCTGTAAAGATAGTGCATTTTATAATGCTATATTTCCACGTGTACTTTGTTTTCTTATGATTTTGTTTTTCTAAGTTTTTATGTTTGATTGTGGCAGATGACAACTAGGTTTTTGTAATATAAACTATGTTTTTGTTGTTTTTAAATATGTTAACAACAGGTATGGTGGCTGGTAGGCAGATGTCAACGACGAGTGGGGAATTCATAGTACAGCACATAGAGAAGGAGATAATGGACTACATAGATGAGCAAATAGCTGTTCTACCAGATCCAGACTTGAAGAAGAAGAAGGTGAGAAAAAAGATTGTGGGTGGTCATCGAGGTGTTGTCAATAATGACTAATTTATCGAAGAAAACATTGGACCATAGCCGTTATTATCAAAGCAAAAAAAAGCGCAACAATAATCTAGTTCATTCTGTAAAATTTAAAAGAATATCAGTGAACCGTTTCTTACACTAGATTCAGCAAATTATCCCACACTTTGCCATTCGTATTTTCTATTAAAAGTTAACTTGATAACAGTCTGTCCTTATCATGCTTTATAAGAAAAGAAAAGGACAGACTGAGATAAAGTTTTAAAAAAAAGCGAACACAAATAGCCAATTGAAGTACCTTCATTAAATGTGACTGGAAACAACTTGCGGAGATAAGTGATATACGGTTCAGGTCGTGGTAGCGGGGTTCAATGAATCCGCCCGGATAACGGACAGTGCGGGTTCGAGTCCCGTCTGCTTCCTGGACCGACATTTAAATATCAGTAACAAGTTTATCCAGTATACCAAATTTTATTTCCAGGCTAAGCCGGAAGAGGTGGAAATGGTCCACGAGCTTCTGCAGACTTTCATTGATGAAAATATGGACGTAATTGTTCCTGAGATCGAAGAAGTAGAAGAAGAGGAACTACCGATACCAGATGTAATGTACCGATACCTGACTGAATATTATCTTGATGATCTATTGATTAGTGCAAGAATGAATTTCACATAGCAACAATTTTGTCTGTATGGTTCTGATTTTGTCGTAGCGCTTTTTAACTATCTGGTCAATGGGAGTGTGAGAGTCGAAGCATAGAAGAATAGAAGTAGTGCTATGATGATTGAGTGTACACTCTTAGAATAGATTAACGAAAAGATTTCCAAAAAAAGTATTACCCAACTAACAAGTATTAGTGGCGTGTTGGCAGGTTACATTTGATATTAGATCGCTTATTGATTCGATATTGTAAAGGTTTACAATAACGACGAAACAAGCCATACAAAGGTATCCAATTCGACGTTTTTTGTTGTTCATAGTATGGTTCATACAACATTAAATTTGTCCCTTTTTTAGTGTATATATAAAAATACAGTAACTATATGAGTTGACTTTATGAATTCAATTTAAACTTTTTCTTTGTTTTACTTCTTGTTCTGAGGGCACTCCATAGTTCGTCTATGTATTTATTGTTTTATCTCTCTTTCTAGAGAATTACCAATTTCATACAAGTGTAGCTCAGTGCATTCTCTACGCCTGGGTTCTATCGATAACACGTGTTCATCTATTCCGTGGGTGTAACGGCAATGATTTTTCTTCTAGCGGTCCTAGGCTTTCACCGTGTTAAGGCAATTTTTATGTGATTACTACTACTCATATCAGTATGAATTGTTTGCAGATAGTGCTGGTATACGCTGTGCCCGGAATAGGGCCGGTGGTGGATGCGGATATTGTGAGAGAATTTGTTGACTACGCCCTGGACATTTGCAAGGTGCAAGCCGACTTGTTCATGCCGAGGAACATCAGGCACTTTATGTGTCCGCCGCTCGAGAAGTGAGTGAAATACATTTTAACAATCATCAGCCCCAGATTAATGTCCCCAGACCTTCCCTATGGATGGAATAGAGAGATTGGCTCATGAGCCACGCGGGCCAAGTGGGTGCTAACGACTGCAGATGCAGCCGGGATCAACGACTTAACGTGCCTTCCAAAACATGGCGAAGCTCAAGATAATAAAGTTTTTATCACCCATTCTATGGGCTCAACGTACAATTCGAAGCACGGAGGACTTCGAGATAATATTTTTTTGTTATGAAAGTTGCTTAGCCTCCACAATCGCATATTGCGCCATTGAACGACTCATAGTTTTGTCATTTTGGGCATTTTAAACCCAACCTGCGGAAAAATTCCTAGTGAGCTGAAGTTTTGTATGCAACTTCAATAAGGAGTTATAATGAAGATGTAAAAAATCGACATTGATATCGTGCCGGCTTAAAAAGTAATAAAGGTCAAAAGGTCACGAAAATCAGTTTTTCAAAAATATCTCACGACCGTTGTCGGTGGTCACTAGAGGTCATTATAAAAGTTATTTGTCCTGAAATTATCTAAAAAACGGCCTCTTGCATTTTACAAGTGCAATCTTATGTCAATTACATCCCTGCTTACCAAAATAAATATTTTCTTGTCCGTCTTGGCCTCTTATTGACCTACATTTTGAGGCATATTGTACCGGTGCAAATCTCCTATTACATAACCTCTATTCACCCTAATTATATACAGCCAATAAGCACTCGCAATACCAGAGTTATTACTCGCGGGTTTTCTACCCTGATTGCACAAATGAACTAACAGTAGTCCATTTCACTGGATTTCCTCATTTGATGTTATTAAATAGCAGTATATCAAAAGAATTCTTTTTTCGGTTCCAGATATGAAGAAACCAAGTACGAACTACCAGCACCGCGCGTATCTAAGGAAGAGGTAGCCACTGGTGGAATTATCACTGATTGAAAAGTTTCACGCGATTAGAATAGAAATGTTAGGTTATATTTTGCCTATACCATAACACTATGTTATAGGCAAATCACACAGTTGTAATAACCTATTTGTTTTTAGTCTGTGGTATTGCCTAAAGTTGTTTGGCTTTGTATGTAAAATAGATTTTGATTTAAATAGACAGCACAGTACAGCCAATCCATTTATTGAATTTTGAGTTAATGCTTGTTAAGTGTTATTAACCAAATTTTAATCAAAAAAGGACGAGGTTAGTTATTCGTCGTTGATGTTTGTTTTTTATCTATTGCTTTCACTACGTGCGACCTATATAACTTGGAAACTAAAAAAAAAATGAAACTGAATGATCTTATATCTCTGATTAAATCTAAACAACCAAATATACATGTTTGTTGATGTAACAATTTTCTTGGTTAAATTTATTTCTATGATGTATTAGCACTACTAATACTATCCGTTATAAATGTAGCATAGTAATTGTCAATTCTAATGTTGTTTTTTTTATTAGCCGCTTTCCAGGACTTCGTATTTGAAATGCAAAACAACCAAATAGCATTTCGGCATCTTATCAAAAATCAATATGGCTTCAAGTCAGTTAAAAGTACCGAAGATGTAGTTTTAGAACTTTCAGAATCAGTGATTAAAGCCTTCAAAAAAGTCTAAAACGCTTCGAATATTCCTCGACCTATCAAAAGCCTTTGATGCGGTATCGATTCCTGTTGGAATTGAAAATCTGGAGTATTTGCCCCGCTAATAAATGGCCCAAATACTCCAGTTATACCTATTTGTATAGCGGGGCAAATACTCCAGATTTTTGCCAGTTATTTAACAAAGATAACGATGCAATGTGTTGTCATCAATCGTTTTTCTAGTGATTATGTGTTCCACAGGGGATTGTTTTGGGTCCGACCCTATTCTTGATTAACATCAATGAGCTCTGCAAACATTCGCTGTAGAACACCAAAATGATATTTGCGATTCAACTAAAAATAGGACCGACTGGGCGCCATATTGTGACAATTGACAGCTGTCAATTCAAACCAGTTACCTTCTTCTATTTTTCTTTACGGTCTTTTTTACCTGTATTTATAATAAAACTAATGTTCTGATACTTACCTTATCCAGTACTCATTTTCTATACGTTACATATGATTTATATCCTTCTTTTGCTTACAAATGTTTGGTATATATTCTAAGAGTAGCTTAGTGCTAAATAAAATATTTCAAGATTTTTTTGCAAACCGTACTTTTCAATCGACATTTGACAGATGGAGGTCATTGGTTTTCCTATTCTTATTTGAATCCCATAGTACTGATGACAGCCTTACTGACTCAGGGTAGATCTTGGTTTGAAGTTGTGAAATTTGCAGAATCAACTTTAAAGTCAGTTATGTAATGGTTTACCAGAAATCTGCTCACCCTTAAGGACATGGTAAAGTTTTGTATGAGCGACTGCCCTGGCAATGCATAAATACTGTACTTAGTAATATTTAAGGGTAAATGGCTGAATATTCATAATTTCTATGAAAAATGGCTCAGGAACTTTTGAAAGTCACAATCTGAAAATTATGAAAAGTCCTACGTCATTACCTTACTGCTGTTGATAGAAGATGTTGCCAATTATTTACAGTCATCAATTTCGCATTTTCTTAGAATCTTTCTTCCCATTTCTCTGATTAACTCTTCACAAAAAGTTTTTTTAAAGCACAAATAAATACAAATAATTTGTTATCGTCGGCCTGACAGGAAATCTGTGAAGTTTTATTTTGTCCATTTGCAAAAATTAAAGGGTTAATTATCATACAGCCTTGTCTCAAGCCTGATCAGAATAATAAAATCTTTTATTTTAGGCCTTCAGTGATTTGGTGAATTAAAATTAGGACCAAATATGGCATAGTTTGAAGGAGTTTAGAAATTATATTGTTTATTTCGTTAAACTTACACAAATATTTTTTGTGTACATTTATGGTTCATTTATTTAATGAAATGGAAAATTTTGCTTTTTAAACAGACGAAGTCAATTATGAGAATAATAAACACGTAATAATTAATAAAAAAATATTGTAAAGTTACGGGCTAGTGCGAAATAATAATACACGTTAAGGGCAGTTGCTTAGCCATGTCCTTTAAGCAAAACAAAAATCATTGCGCTTGGTCCAACAAAATATTCCCTACCATCTCATTCTACAGTTATCCAAGGGCAAGCGATCGCAAATCAGCTGCATGTTAGATTATATACCTGCGGGAAAGTTTTAAAATTTAACAAGGATACAGGAAAGAGACAGGAGCTCTTTGGAGCTGCAATAAAACATCAGAAACTTTACATCCGTTTTATTATTATATGGAATAGTAAATTAAACCCCCCCATTGTTACCGTCCTATCACCGAAACACGTTGGCTGCCTTCTGGCTATCCCCGTCTTTCTGAGACTGGGCCACTTCATAAAGATTTCGTATATCCTTAATTTTCTATTGAGGAATCAGGCCAAAAGAATTTACCAACTTGTTACTTGATACCTCATGTCTTTAATAATTTCTGTTTTTGTTTTTATTGAAATAAAGGAAAATCGTAACTTGAAACTTATATCTGTTTTTCTTATCGGACACCAATCTTTACATTTATAAAAACATTCCGGAAAATGTATCTCATCATGATGTTGTTCTTTTTCCCAAAATTAAGTGCGCTTGTTGAATTGCGTATCTTGAGCTTCGAGGTGATTTAATTATTTGTAACGAATCCAAAAATTGATCCAGACTTATTCATGCATCCCAATGTTTCTAAATTAATATTATTATTTATGCCATATAAATCTTTGTAGGCACCATTATTGCAACATAAGCTGTTTTTTTTGTTTGTAGCAGCGACCCAGCCAAATCGAGACGGGGACTATCAAACTTTGAGCATTTTTATAATCCAGCACTAGCATTATCTCTCCCAATGTTTTTATAAAATAACATTTACCGTAGACAAAATGGTGAACGTTGTAAGCACAACAAAATTTCGTTTAAAGCCTAATTTATTATAGGATTTTGAACGAAACTCGCTGCATTTCCTTGAGTGTTTGTCTTTAGGCTTTATGAATGAAGAAACTAAACTTCTGGAAGCATTAGGGACATCTGAAGACTAAACGGGACTTGAAAAATTACTATAATGGCAGGGAATCCAAAAAAATGTAATTATTAGTTATAAATATTTTCAAACTTAATTAATGATTGAAGTAATAATAAAATATCTTTAGCCCGGTTCGAGTTTAGTTCAAAAACCTTCTTCAAACTTTACAACGTTCCAAACCCCTACAATTATTACAACGGCGAAAAAAAACTGAAATGATTTTTTCGCATCATATATTTTGGGTTTTCAACTTCGGGTAACTAAATTCTATATATACACAATTATAATAAATAACCGCACAGACATTTTCCTTGTTTATCTCAAAACAATACTTAAATAGAAAAAGCACACAACGTAAATACTTTACAAGCTCACTAAAATAATAATAATAATATAGATAGACCAAGTGTTTTTTTTAACCTTTGTTCAAAATTTACATATAATTATAATATTACTTACAAGCAAAAACAATCATAATTCACAAACCGTCTATTCAACGTGAAAAAGACATGTTTTTACACTAAGGGTCATTTCAATTTTCACTATACAATCGCTTATTCTGACTTATCTTTTCTAATTTCTCTCGGAATATAGAAACAGAGAAAAAGTTAACACCGAGCAGGAGCATAAGGCGTTTATTCTGGAAATGAAATCGCTTGGAAGTACTAGGTATCCAAAAGATAATTCAGAATAAGTAAAATGGGAACCATTAACTACGCTGGAAGAAATTGGTAGGAATCGAAAATGTTGGACATTTGGGCACTATTTCATTACATCTTGAACGCTATTGACTTTAATATCTGAATAGAAATAAATTACTCCATAAATATCATCTTTCATATGATTAAGCTATAGTCCTTTCACTCTACAAATATACAAATAAATTAAGCAGACATTGTCTAACACTACTGACCAATTTGATACTTAATGGAGTAACATATACTATTTGCCCATTATCCTTCTTGTAAGTGATAAAAAAACTTTCAACAATATCTTCACATTAAGAAATGATTTGATAACTAAGGTAATGGCAAAACAAATCCAAGTTTTGGAAACATTGACCAAACATCCAACTTCTTAGATTACAAGAAAAAAGCATCCGAAATTTATAAGCAGGAAAGCATTCCGACTTCTGACTCGTTAAGAAAAAATGCTAACACTTAAAATAACAATGTCGTATAAACTTAGGCATTATTTAACAAGTAAATCTTACACCAGATATTACGTGGGATATTTAGAAGACCTACATTTCAATTTTGGTAGACGAGATCTAATTAAATACAAATATAGTTCATGCCACAATGAAAATGGATGAAGTTACGTGGCAGTAAGAAGTGAAACAAAGGACATAACATTGAATTTATAGTCTTCGGACGAATATAATATAGCTTGTTAATTTATAAATAAAAAAACTGTATAACTAAAAACAACAAATAAATTATAACATAACCTAAAGTCACTTTCAATAAACAACTTTTATGGTTTTTCTTATCAATGTATCGTAACGGAAGAATTACCCGATTTTAATTATTTCACACCTGGAATCATATTGTTAGATAATTTGGAATCCCTATTAGAGGAAGTCTAATTTATTTGTTCTCTGCCCTTTGGTGTTCAATTTATCCAAAATTTTCATAGTGAGTCCGCTCAAACAATTACACTTATATTTTAGGAAAAAGCAGAGTCCTAACTATCGAGGCAGTATTTTATATTCTGACTGCATAACCATTTCAACGAACAGACTATTGAACACATCCACCAAATTGTAGGTATCCTTTCATCTTAAGGGTCAAGCTTTTCTTTATCGATTCCGGTGTTCTGCTTAACTACGAAAAACTTAACAAAAACATAATTATTATTTGGTTACATTGATGGATTACAGGAATCAAAAGTGATATTTTAAAAAAAAATCACCAACCAAATTTGCAGCATATTTGCTAGCTACGTTCATCTATACACTATTAAATAATACAAAATGATATTTCACGCTTTATAACATACATAATTTATCTTGTAAGAGGTGACTTTCAAGAAATAAAAGATGTTAGAAAATGTATAAAGTAATTCATTTACAACGTTCATTTACTCTTTCATCTCTTAAAAGTTGCACCTCTTCAATATAAAACCACAAATTCGTTGTATAAAAAAGTAAAACTTGTGATGTGCCAAATCTGATAATATCATCCATATAAACAAGTTACAAATTAGTAATATTATAATGAAAATTGTTCATTAATGTGATTTTAGATTGTTTAAAAATCTCTTTTATATTACTTGATATACAAGAGTTTCTGGCAATCACATTAAGATAAACTGCTACAATTTTCTATAAAAATTTCAGGTCATTTGTTGAAAACCCCTTCTGAGTTCTAGTACCATCAAAATATTTGCAAAAAATAATTTATACTTTTAAAGTAGATGAAGTTTTAGGAAGGATTATAGTAGCCATTGAGCTCTTAGATATAGGAAAAATGTGGACATAAATAATGAAATCTGTTGCCTATTATATACCGAATATTATCATATAACCGACCTACAGAAAAAAATATGCGAAAGTATTTTTTTACTAACATTTCAAAGCAACAAACCAATATTTTGAGCAAGCAATGAGTAAATTCCAAAGCTAGTTTACTTAATGTGTGCATCGTAGGTATTAAGCGCGATAAAAATATTTAAAATGTACAAAATACGTCATACGTTTCGTTGACAACCTTATAGTAATGTATCGTGTAGAGACCTACTTACTGAAATTATGATGATCAACCTTTATTATCATTTTACTTGACGTCATGATCACATATGAAATTGGGATAAGTATCAGTTCATTTTCTTTCTGTTTCACAGAATAATTATAAGGTCTCTGATTCTGATTGTCTCTAGCCATTATTTACGTTCGGTGTTAGACTTTTAGAACAATTATCTTCAAAGGGATTCAACACACCTACAGACTTTCATCGCAGATTATACGGGACAAAAATTGGAAACTACACTCCTAGCCTCTATCAAACCGCGCACTCCACATTTCTATATATTTATTAATTATTTATTTTTCATTATTAAATAATTTACTAATAACCTTTTTTTTAACAATTTTAATGGAAATTTGTTTATATTTTACATGGGTGCCTATAATTATCGAATAGATTATAGGTTATTCTTTGACTAGTACGTTATTAGCTATCTGTATTAGTTGAGCTTCCACATCTAAACGTATTTATATGAAATGTTTAGCTATATTTATTTTGATTAATCCAGCTTTGGCTAGTGATTTGCGAATTGTTTGACACAGTACTTTTGTGATCGAATCGATTTAAATGAAATAAATAATGTGCTATCAGAACGATGCAAATAATTTCAATAATAAACGAACCGCATAAGACTGTCCTCGCCTGCAGTCTTTCAAGTGCCTAAGTGATGGTAATACAGAGGGAGTTGGTTTATTTGGTTGGGTAAATGCTGTAAATAATATAGTAGTAATCGCGCTATATCTCGGCAAATTCACTTATAGCAACAATATATTAGCCGTCACTTCCACGAGACAATCACACGCGATTGAAATTTCTTATTGACAGTTAACAAACCATGTTAAAACGTAAGTACGAGTATTTTGGAAACGAAAATTGGACCCAAATTTAACTTCACAAGATATTATTTTAAATAAAGTCATAGAAGATTTAAATATGAATGCAGAAATCTTATATGAATAAAATGTTTCCGTTAGAGGACAAAGCCCGAGGAGAAATATTAAAAAGCAAGGACACAGCGAAAATACTAAATATACTGTATTGCAGTAGTATTAAAGTAGGGAGATAAACTGCAATTTCAAAATTTTATATACAAAGACGATTCTAATAAATATAATAACAATGAAAGTGAAGATTTAATAGAATTCGTTAGTGAATGTAATACATCACACCTTTGTATGACTCAAGAACACGTGTAATAATATATTTTTCGACAATTGTTATTAATTATCATAAGAATTGCACAATCATATAACGTCGCAGGCGAGAACTACACGATTTACTCATTAGACAATCCAAACAATGACAGATACACTTTTGCGCGTACAACTGTAAGTTTTTAAACAAAACATTCGCTCATTAATTGAACACAATACAAAGAACGGTGAATGAAAATATTTATCGAAATACAATTTAAATTTACCTAACGCACATTTCATTAATTTTGGGAAAATGATAACTTTTCTAAAATATATTTTAAAGTCATTTTAGTGCTTTCACCAAAGGAGGGCAATGATCCATCACTATCTAGTCTAATATCGAAGTTACAATTAAACTGCTTATGTATCAAACCGAAGAAGATCTCCACTTCATTTTCATGGAAAGAGAAAGCAATAGTCGCATCATTCATATTAACAACGTAGCGTTAGAAAGAGATGCACAGTGTCTCCCGGCTCGATATATACGCAGTGCTGTTAGTATTACATAACTGGTGTTTTTATAAGTCGGCATTAATAACTATTGTACATTTTATTACTATGCAATAACAGAGTTTTGAACTTTTTACCGTATTCAGATAACCATTGAGCTGTTACATAGGTACAAAAATTATCTGGAATTACAATAACTTACCTTTTAACAATTATTAGGTAACAGAACTATCTTATTGCCTAGCGCTTGGGAAGTGTGTGTCACCGTACGATATAAAGAGCATCATGATAATGTTTTCTTCTCGAAGAATGTTACATCGCACAGTGTCACAATGAAGGAAGCAAAAATACAACGGCCCCAATGAAAGCTTATTGAAAAAATTCACCTAATGTTCATTTGCCGTTGTGATTCTTATATAGGATAAACCACTATTGGTGTTAACTCTCTCTGCCGCGGCCATTTTGGTAATGTCAGCGTGAAGGTATCGAAAGAACTTTGTTAAAAATTTGCGAGTAAGGAAGAAAGCGTTCTATCTGTTTTAGTTTAAAGTTGTTGGGGGGCGTTGTAGTCATTTTTTTTATTATAAAAGCGGTCGGCATCAGGCTATGGCAAGCAGGCGTGCGGCTCTTGTTAATAAATCGAGTATATAACGCCAAATGTTGCGCAACGCGGCTGAACGGGAAAATAAAAATCTCCATAGGAATATGACCGTCGCCACTTGTGTTAGGATGTGAACTATGTGTAATCTGGAACAAAAAGGATGAAGTCAAGAACTGCCAACATTGAGGGAAGACAACGATATTAAATACCCTAGATACACCAACAAGAACAAAATCATGCCCGAAACCTGTCCAATATGTACATTGGCCGCGTCGAAATTTTCCTAGCTTGCTAGGAAAATTTCTTCACACTTTAAAAGTCTTTACACCTTATTTCTTTGACTCTTCAATTCTGAATGCACTGTTAGCAATATAGTAGGTACGGATCGCGAAGAATGGAGACAGCTATATTACCGACCATGCATTTGAATATCACAAATATTTTCTATTAAATCAGTTTATAGTAAGTCATCATCATCAACAGCCTATCTATGTTTATAGTAAGTATTAAAACAAAATTTGCTTCAAATGCGTTAAATTAACAAATATTGATTAGATACCTGTCGGAAAAACGACATTTTACATACTATAAGTATTTATTTCGCATTTTTTCACGGAGGTCAGCGGCATGTTGACTTTTCAACGGTCCGCGCGTGACTGTGAACCAAGAAGTGCTCGAGTCGTGTTCAAGCACTTCTTGATAAGGACACATTTTGAGCGCACGTGGTGTATCTAGGGTATTTAATATCGTTGAGGGAAGATAATTAATCTATACCGCAACATAAAAAATGGATAATTTGAAAAACTATTGCAAATTCTGGGCCTGCAATTACTTAGGCTGAACTAATGATATAAAATAATAAATTATTGTTAAAGTCATTTAAGTAACAAACATTTTGGATACGCAGAAACATTAAAATTTTATAAAACTAGCTAGTGAGGTAGACACTGGCATGATTCTCTGAACTTAAAATTAAATTTAGCATCAGTCTCTCCTTTTTATTCTGCATAGAAAATAACAAGGATGCACTGTTGTCAAATTGAATTCTAGGCATAGAGAATCATGCCAAAATCGCCACCAGTAGCATAAGCACCACAATTTATATTAAATCACCTTTTTATCGCATCTAACTGTAAAAGTCCATAGTAATTTAAAAATTATGCGTGATAAAACCGTTTGATATATCATATCGTGATGCTATGCTATCGGGGGGCTGGGTCAATAATCTATGAACTTTACTACTGTGGAACTCACCTTCGTATCAACGCCCTGGATTTGGGTAGCGTGTCAGGACTCTCTTTGAACAGGAACCGCCTTATTCCCAAGACATAAGACTCAATATACGCATCCCAGTCTATATTTCTAACGTTGAAGTCGAATATTCTCCTGTCTTCTGGTGAAAGGGCAGAGCAGAGAGCTTGTACGTTGTCGTCAGCGAAGGACCATTGGCGTGTCGTAAAGTATTCCAAGCAGGCAGCCGCTTTCTCCAATTTGTTTTGGACACGCATCATTCTGTGATAAAAGGTTGAACTTTGTTAATTAGGTATTAACAATTAGTAAACAATTTATGCACAAATTATACTTATTCGCGATTCCTAACCTTTCTTTCGATGATAATTTTATAAATTGAGTGCAAGCATAAAGCGAATGTTTACCGTTTTTTTTAGTCTATAGATCATCTATACTATGACGTCAATCGGTAGTAAACAAAAACTCGTAAGCACGTAGAAAATAACCTATCTGAGTTTATAATAAAAAAATATGATTTCTAATAAATACCACGAAAATTATTGTATTGTACGAGAATGTAAAAAACACATCCTTGAAGACTCCAGGAAAGTTGTGGATTAACGTGCCAAAAGAAATTAACCTGCGCAATACCTGGTTAGAACTTGCTAAAAGGGATCCTGCAAATTTATCGACTCATAGTAAAATTTATTTTTGCGAAGATTACTTTGATGTAAGTACTCATAGAATAATATTTTAAGTCTCTTCATTTATTATCAGTTTTAATAATACAAGTTTTAAGGTTATGTATGAATGACATTTAGTTGTTTACTACCAAAGAGACGTCACAATCATGGCCGATGCGGCGAACAGCGTTCTTAGTGTTTAAAAAGTATAGACTAAAAATATTTTTTAAAATTAAATTTCTACAGCAATCTTCTGGATTTATGAAGTGAAATCGATATATTTAGGTTCCTTAGATCAAACACTTTAAGAAATAAACATTTATTTAATACCATTCGACATCGAGTCAACTAGCCTATTGCGGGTGCGCGCAACTTTTAGGTTAATTTGAGTGAAGGTATGAGCCGAGGCACGGTAATATTATCTCCGAGGTAAATGCGTAAATGATCGCTTTCGCTCTGCAAAACATCGAGCTGCATGGCGATGCATCGCGAATGCATCAGTGAAAAACAAAACCTATTTATTGAAAATAATTAAAGTTACACGTATAATTTAGGTTCGTTAATAGCTAATATTAGTTTTTAGAACTGTGTTACAGCTATTAGCGTCCACCTCCAGTGGGCCAATCGCCTAACCAGATTGCTTTGGAAAACGCTATCGCTTACGATTTCATTTTGTTATTTCTAACCGCCGAAGGTTTTCAAATACCTCACGCTCATTTTCTTTAACATTGTTATTACCAATGCAAAAGAAAAAAAAAAGAGCGCGAGGCATTTGAAAACCTCAGGCGGCTAGAAATAACAAAATGAAATCGTAAGCGATAGCGTTTTCCATAGCAGTCCAGTTAGGCGATTGGCCCCCAGATACAGAGACGTGTGTTCCATAATACATATAAATAAATAAAAAAATACAGTCCTCATCTTACCATTTACATTACAAAATAAAAAGTATGTATGTCTGTGTGTTTGTATATGTGAGTGTGTGTGAGCCTGTATTAGCGTGTGTGTCTGTATGTGCATGTGTGTATGTTTATGAGAGTGAGAGTGTACGATTGTACTAAAATGATAGTTGCATGTGATTTTACATGTATATCCGTGTATTATTTGATGACCTTGAGTAAGCTCTCCGTTTCGTCATATAAAAGGGAATGTAACCACTGCCTAGCAATCGTCTTACACTTATTAAGGGTAAGTGGATATATGTCAATGATTTGACATATATCCACTTACACAGTGACACAGGAATCGACCGAGACATAACCACGACCACTCTGTCAAGAGTGCACGACTAGGAAGAAGATACACGTATATACTAGAAAAAAAAATCCACGCGGATCAGGCAGCGGACGCGGCGAATAGGGCCGTGGTAGCATAATGGTCAGTGCATTCGCCCGGATTGCGAAGGATGCGGGTTCGAGTCCCGTCCGCTGCCTGGTCCGCGTGGATTTTCTTTTCTAGTAAACTTTTCTTTTGATTTAAACATCTAGCAGTTAAATGCTTAAAAAATAAATAAAAGGAAAATGATGTGGTGTCGTGGGCCACCAGGTAGGAACGAAGTTCCTTCGGCTAATGTAGAATCGACACAAATTGCAAACTCGCTTGTCGCGCCTGCGCACGTCTCATTTAACGGTTTTATTCCACGCACTTTTTTCCACGGATTTTTTCTTACGGTTTTACTATCACAGTTTTTTCAGTTCGGTCGCGCAGCAAAATCCCTATCCCCTCCAAGCCTGCCGTAAGGAACTTCGTTCCTCCTCCTTCCTTACTCCTTCGTTGTATACTTACACGGGTTTATTCCCTGAAGCACGAGCTACTAGATCCATTATGAGGGCGGGTGCTCGATGCTGCGCCAGAGAGAGGGCGGCGTGCTTCAAGCGGTTACTGGTGATGTCGCCGCCGGGGTACCAGAGGACTTCATCTATAGCGAGAATTATAATACTAAAAAAACGAAAATTATATTTTTACTAACTGACCTAGCGAACTTCGTACCGCCATAAAAATAGGGGCAGGTGGTAGAAGAGACAATTTAGGATTGTATGTATTTAAAAAAAAATAGGGGTGTGTAACGTAGTGTTCTATCAATTTCCTGGGATAACATTCCTCCTAACCCATATGTGAACACTACGTTATAATACCCAATAGTTTGAATTTTGGCGCGAAGGCGCATTGTAGGTTTCAGAACACTACGTTACAGGTGGACAACCATTATCACTTAAGGATATGAAAAATAGATAGGTAGTAGCCGATTCTTAGACCCACGGAATATACATATAAAATTTCATAAAAATCGGTCAGGCCGTTTCAGAGGAGTATGGTAACTAACATTGTGACACAAGAATTTTATATATAAGATTTTAGGAATTTAACTGCTAATATGAGTTAAACCTATCCGGAGTAAAATAAGACTCCCCATACACGGCAAAGGTCACCCCAGGTCAAGCCTAATCTTCGGAAGGTCAAGTCAACGGTACAGAACTGAAACATATTGTTTTAAACTTTCATGGTCACTGACATTATAGTAATTTAAGTTATTTGTGGAATTATTACCATGTACCTTGTTTTAGCGAGTTTCCGATATTTCGGCACCATGTTACAAAAGAAAAACATGATGAACAGTGCCGAAATATCGGAAACTCGCTAAAAACAAGATACATGCTAACACTACCGTAAATAACTTATGTTACAATAATGTTAGTGACCATGAAAGTTTAAAACAATATATTTCAGTTCTGTGCCGTCCAGTTGACCTTCCGGAGATTAGGCTTGACCTGTAGTAAGTCCTTTGCCGTCCATGGGGAGTCTTACTTTACTCCGGATAGGTACTGTAACGCCCGTTGCGTTACGGCCTCTTTGCTTGTGTAAACTCTTTGCTCGTGTAATGCCTACGGCTGGCAGTTATATTAAAAAGGAAATATCATTATTTTAAAGATTTGAAATTGGGAATCTTTTGTCTCTTATCTAAGATTCCAGCAGATAGAATTCAGGCACAAAAGCGAATAGTTGATAATACGGATTTTATGTAATTCTCTACCAATTCAAGAATATATAATAACGACTATTTGGTGATAATTATTATTTCGCAACCGTAGCAGAGCTACGCTACCAGGGGGCCATTCGCCTAACGGAAATGCTTTGGAAACGCTAACGCTTTCGAATTTATTTTGTTATTTCTGACCGCTGAAGGTTTTCAAATACTTCACGCTAATTTTTTTTATTACTGTTAATACCAATGCAAAAGAAAAAAAAGAGCGCGAGGCATTTGAAAACTTCAGGCGGCTAGAAATAACAAAATGAAATCATAAGCGTTAGCGTTTACCAAACTTTTCCTTAAGGCGAATGGCCCCTAGGCCTATTCCTTCAGGATAGAGCACCACAGTACTGAAGAAACGCGGCGGAAAATTATAGTGTAATCTCCGGATTGTCAAGCCTAGGCAAGATTGAAATACTAGTTGTCCATCCTTCGGGGTAGATAACGGTTATATTTAACTGCTGCTGTAACGGAGACGGACGTACCGTATTTAACGGAGCAAAACATTGCATACAATATGTGTTGGAATGGGGTTCGAAATTAATATGTCAATTTTCTTTATTCAAACTGGAAGAACTATTTTATCGTATTTCAGAAAAGCTATTGTGTTATTTATTATTCCTACAATAAAAGAATATAAATCTACGCAGACTAAGAGTTTTGCTTATAAACTAAGGCTTTCTAATATTTTACTAATAGGGATGATGAATAATTTTTCTTCGTTTATCAGGTAGATTATCAAAAAGTATTGGACACTTATTTTTTCTTTTTTCACATAATATAAACATTGCAGAGATATATTGATTTGAAAAGTCGCATGACGTCACGTTTGAGTACACTTATAAGTGAAAATTCACTCAAAAGTGACGTCACGAGCCCCCACTACCAAACTTTGACGCGCTATAACTTTGTCATTTTTTGGTTGATTGCCCAAAGAAAAAATATGTGTCCATTATTTTTTGATCATCTAACTGACGGACTAAATAGAATTTCGTTTACTGTACTCCATCATCATTCCTATTGTTTAATGTTAAGCGACATCATACTATTGCGCAACTAAACGCAATTTAAAAATGTCAGTCAGAACTCACTGAACGGATGTTTCCGCATATATTTGAAGCTGGTCTTCACGAACCGCTGCCACGTGATGGGGTTCTGTTGTCCCGTACAGCAGTTGTATACCACCACCCCTTCCCCTCTGAAAGAGATAAAAAAATCACATCATTAGCATCATCATCAGCCTGCTAATGTAACAAGTCCCCTATGGATGGAATAGGAGAAGGACTAACTCTGGATTGGTGTATGTTGGTCCGGAACGAAATTAAATTTCTATCGTCTGTACCACGGCGAGTGTTCTGAAGAGTTATTCACTCTCATTACACCTTCCCCTTTCATTCAGAGGACCACGCGCGCTGGCTTACGTTGTCACCGTCTAACTATGACCACAATCCCAACGCGTACAAAGAAATTTGGTGACTCATTTCTTTGTCGCACTATCCGTAAATGGAATGCTCTGCTCGCTCACGTGTTCCTCCCTTCTTACAACCTGGGATCCTTTAAAAGAGGCGTGAAGAAGCAACATGCAGGCCGGCAGGGTGAGGATGGCTGGTGTGGCAGGTAGAACTGCTGTATCAGCTTTCTTCACTTCTGGAGTTCACCACCACTTAACATCAGGTGGGGTGGAGTCATTTGTCGGACTTATCGATAAATATATATATATATATATATCTCACCGTGTAGCATGAGTCCTCCAGGCAGAGACGATCATGAGGTTGATGACCGTGTCGACGGGCACGAGGTCAGCGACCCTGGACCCGGTGCCGAGCATGGTGCGGAATATACCCTTGCCGACGGCTGCGATGATTCCGTTCGGACCGTTCCAGTTGTCCACCCAGCCCTTTACTGGCTCGCGTAACGAGGAGAGTACTGCAATGAAAAAAAATAGTGTTAAGGCAAAGGGGAAGATTTACAGCTGATTACTGATAGCGTGCATTCGTACAATTCAAATAAAACCATAGACAAAATAAACATTTGCCCCGTATACATTTTTGTATGTGAGATTGCTTTGCTTCGTTATAACAATCAAACTGTAACTTTTAACCTGCCGATTTAAAGATTTGAATCGAACTTTCCTGCAAAATTCTGTAAAAATGCTTTTTCATTAACAATAGTGTAGAAATTGAACTATGAAACAGTTAAAACACTGATGACTCGAGAGGGACGCCAAATGATTGTAAAGCAGACCTAATCAGTACCCCTAGCACGAACCATTATCGAATTCGAATAGTTTGCAAACCGAAATGTCAATGTCAAATTTTGTATGGAAACTTGAACAGCAGCGCCACTTTGGACGTAACGGGAACTAAAAATCAGTACACATTTGATAATGACATTTCGGACTCGCAAACGTTACGAATTCGATATTAGTTTGTGCTAGGGATACAGTAGGGTAGTAGGGAACAGTTAAATGACTCGGAACATAGATAAATGATTGGTCTCACTTCGCTCGACTACATCATAAGCTGAGGCAGGGTCCTGATTGGCTATCTTAGGTTTTTTATGTTCTTTTTTATTTTCTGAGGTTAAGTTTTCTTGTCTTTAATTTTTTATTTTTTATTGTTGTATTGATAAGTTTTTCTTTTGTTAAGATGGCCAATAAAAGGTTTCAGTTCATTTCACTACCTCGCTGTCAAAAACAACAGCTCCGTAAATACGGCAACTCATTATTGTAGTGTTTGTATGTCAATGTGCAATGATGCTATTGTATGTCAAAAATCGTGTAGCCAGCTGCTCAAATGCTAGCCAAGTAATAGGGAAAATATTGAATGCTGTGTTCTACTGGTTAAAAATGTAGGTGGTTATTATTATGTATGTTACAGGTAATAAATATAGTGCCATACTGAAAGTTGTAGTTTCAAAACAATGTAATTTCCTATAGCTTCAACAGTCGCTCACCCTAGGGAATGAGATTATTACCATTTTTAAAACTCGAAATTACCACATCGCAGCTCTCAATAAGACAATACCTATTAATGGTATCGATTCCGGCATGATTCTCTAAACCTAAACTTAAATTTGACAACAGTGTATCCTTGTCATTCTCTATACAGAATGAAAAGGAGAGACTGATGTTAAATTTAGTTTTAAGTTTAGAGAATCACGTCAGAATCGACACCAGTGTAGTGGTAAAGAACTTCTTGTATCTATTTTGACAAATGTCAAAAAATTGCTATAAATCAGATGATATCAGCGCCTCTGGCGGCGAATACAGTTTCTTTTCTTCCATGTTAACACTACCTTTTGGTGATGTTGTGTTACAGTTTGTCCATCAGGTTTATATCACTGTAAAAATCTACATCAAATGAGCCAAATCGAAAGCCAAATGTCTTGTGTATTAATTTTTGCTCTCTTTCCATGATTTTCTGTTAAAAGCAATTAAAGAGTACGAGGAACTCGATAGCGCAGGTGGTTAGCGCTTTCGGCTGCGATCGTTGAAGTTAAGCAACTTTCGCAGTGGTCGGTCATTGGATGGGTGGCCAAAAATCTTCTATCTCGATTTCCTCCGTGCTTCGGAAGGCACGGTCCCGACTGCATCTGAAGTCGTTAGCACCCGACAATCCGCACTGGGCCCGCGTGGTGGGTCATGGCCAATCTCCCTATTCCATCCATAGGGAAGGCCTGTGCCCCAACAGTGGGGACATTAATAGGCTGATGATGGTCAAAGAGTATTTTATTTTAAGTATAGGCCTAAATTAATGTTTTTTTTGGTTATGATTATGATAGCTCTCATGTCACTTACCTATGGAAGGTCTCACAATCGCTACAGGCAGGTTACCGCATTCTTTTATGAGCATGTCCTCAGCCAACGCCTTTGTGAAGGTATACGTGTTTGGTCTGTCGCCTAAAATAATCACAAACAAGTAGAATTAAATAAATAAATAATAAAAAAGAATATTTTCAACACTCACACCAATTAGCCTAGCCCCAAAGTCAGCACTGTAAGGCGTGTGTTATGGGATACTAGGGTAACGGATAGAATACATATGTAAGTATATTTATTTAGAAATACCAATTCAACATCCATGATTGGAGTACAAATGCTCGTATTCATCACACAAACCACTGCCCCCCACCAAATCCGGGACCTCTCGAGTCGACGACACCATGAAAGCCGGCATACAAACCACTCGGCCACGGAGGTCGTCAAAAATTAAAACAGTGTCACAAAGAATGAAACCGCCCGCCCTGTCACATTGTCGATGCGTTTACAGGTATTCTCGCGCAGTTTCACCCAAACATGAATGATTGGTCTCGCTTCAGTCGAGTACAGTGAGACCAATCATTCATCTATGTTTTTTATATATATATTTAGGTAGGCAAATTACTCTACCCCACCTGATGTTAAGTGGTGATAAAGTCCAAACGCGAAGATAGCTGGTACAGCAGTTATAAACTGTCCAACCATCCTCACCTTGCCGACCTGCAGAAATGCTTCTTCACGCCTCTCTTAAAGGACCCCAGATTGTAGGAAGGAGGGAACATGTGCGCGGGCAAAGAATTCCACTTACGAATAGTACGACAAAGAAATGAGTCACCAAATTTCTTTGTTCGTGTAGGAACAGTGGCCACAATAAGTCGGTGGCAACGTAGGCCAGCGAGCGTGGTCCTCTGAAGAAAAGGTAATGGAGGTATAAGGGAGAATAACTCCTCAGAACACTCGCCGTGGTATGGTCGGTAGAATGCGCTTAATGATGCCACAAACGCGGCGTAATGTTTCAAGAATTAATGACGATAAGCGACACGTTAAAACCAAAAGCGGTAACTTGAGGTAATCATTTTAGAGGATGACGGAAGCAATCATCTTCAAGAGGAACAGAATGTCTTTCGTCGTCCGTTCCAGTACAGTATTTACATACTGTACTGTTCTTTCTGTTTACCCGCGTCAAATCGAAATTGGCGTTGCAATGCATTCTAACCCTCTCAGACATGCTGTCAGCAATCATGTGCGAGAGGTACAGAATGTTTTTGGTCGTCCGTTCCAGGAGGCCTACTCTATTTCAACGAAAAACGAAATTTCGATCGACATTTCGCACGTTCCTTACGCTGTTTCCTTTTCATTTCGAAAATTCGTTCGTCCGAAATAGTTTGACAAATAAATTCTCCAAGCCTACTCTAATTCACAAAACTTTCGAAGGAAAAGATGAATTTGACAGATAATTGTTCGAAAATTTAACCTCAAATTGACGAAATGAAAAGTGTTACCTTTTCATTTTAGTTTTGAGATTTTTGTTTTAATTAAACCTAAAATACTTGCAAGAGTATTTTTAATAATAGCTGCTTAGCTCGAGAGACATTTTTAGTATGTAAAATTAACAAATAAACCATTATTTATTGTAATGTCGATACTTCAAAGTATTAAACCACAAATTTAGGTTGACATACAGTAGATTGTATCAACTCTACAAATCAGTCGGCTAACACTGTCAAAGAAGGTTCTTTCAATGTAGTCAAAAAAATTGCCGTAAACTACCTATATTGTTTCCAAGCAAAAAAAAACGTTTTCTTAAAAGTAGAGATAAAAAGAATTCGCAAACATGACTCATTCCATTCGTTCACGAAAACTGTTTATAATTCCGAAGTTAACGTGCCTGTTCAAAAATGAAATAGAGTAGAGTCAAAGGCGAAATTTAGTTTAAAATTCGTTCGTAACCGAAATTTCGTTTCGGAGAAAGAGAGTAAAGCTCCAGTATGTACAGTACCCTTAACACGAACAACTATCGAATTCGAATAGTTGAGTTCGATATATTATATACGTCTATATCGTATTATATGTGTACTGATTTTCATCTATTCGTCAGGCAGGGTCAGGACTAGCACCACCACGTGTTCAGTCAGAATTGACCTGATTATTTAGATACAAAAGACAGTTCCCACAGAGCGCGATTGGATTCAACGTTAATATATCGTTGATTGACTGAACCCAGTGTTTCCTTAAATTCAAAAGAGAATTCCTTTAAAGATGCCTGCTACTGAATCAGGTGTGATCCTGATATATACATGAACTAGTGGCCCGCCCTCGCTTCGCTTCGGAGTAGAATTGATCAAAATCCTTTCTTAGCGGATGCCTACGTCATAACATCTACCTGCATGCGAAATTTCAGCCCGATCCGTCCAGTGGTTTGGGTTGTGCGTTGATAGATCCCTATGTTAGTCAGTCAGTCACCTTTTGAGTTTTATATATATAGATATATTACGTTTCCTCTCCCCTCTCTTCCTCTTACAGTTGCCTATAATGAATGGATGCCTCTAATGATGCTCACCGACTAGATCCGGTGTGATCCTGTCCACCAGCTCTTGGGGCAGGGTCTGCACCAGAGTCACCACGTGTTCAGGGTGCGCTGGAGGGGCGTACACCGTCTCCTCTACCCTCTCCCTCTCGCAGTTGCAGTATGCAGTTGATACGTGAACTAAAGCCTGGAAAAAAAAATCAAATCCGCCATTGTAGCAAAAATAAAAAATCTCAACTGCGATCGTTGAAGTTAAGCAACTTTCGCAGTGGTCGGTGTCATTGGATGGGTGACCAAACATTTGCTATCTCGAGCTCCTCCGTGCTTTCGGAAGACACTTGAAGCCGTTGGTCCCGGCTGCATCTGCAGTCGTTAGCACCCACCAATCCGCACTGGGCCCGCGTGGTGGGTCTTGGCCCAATATTCCTATCCCATCCATAGGCTAAGCCTGTGCCCCAGCAGTAGGGACATTAAAAGGCTGATGATGATAGTTGGAGACCAGGTTTTCAGTTTCAATAACCTTTGCGTTCTCTCCAATAGTTCTCTCTCCCGATCTCTGCTTCCCTCTCCACTGACGGCGACCGTTCGATCTATCCCCACGGCGGACTTTGTCAGGCAGTGGGGACATTAATAGGCTGATGATGATGATGATTATAATAATATATTTATTTATTACCTCCAACCCGAGCATGCGATGGCACAATTGAACCAATTGCTGCGTCCCCAACATGTTGATGGTGACTGACAGTTTGAGCTTCTCGTCGAACTTCACCGTCGCCGCCGAGTGGAACACTACTGACACCTGCAACAAGCAAATTTTCTTTAAAATATCAGAAAAAACATTAGGCAACATCGAAATCATAAACTTCAAAGAAAACTAAAGTTTTAAACGAAAAATGGAAAGAAAAAATTAGTGTGCACGGAACACACATCTGAAGTGAAACTTATTTTCTTAAATAAGCTAACATAAGGGGTAACATAAGGCATAGGGGAGTGGAGCAGCGCACGCATCACTCATATATACCTATATTATATGTGTGTTGTCGCGTGTGACGCTCGTGTTTCAGCCTTCTCTTCCCAACGAGCATGAAAGTTGTGACGACGCTACGCAATGACGCTACGAGTGTCACACGTGACAAATAAAATTCTCGTGTCACAATGTTGGTGACCATACTCCTCCAAAACGGCCTGACCCGATTTTTATGAAAATTTATATGCAACTTCCGTGGGTCTGAGAATAGGCTACTATCTATTTTTCATATCCTTAAAGTGATAATGGTGGTCCACCTGTAACGTAGTTTTCTGAAACCTACAATGCGCCTTCGCGCCTAAATTCAAACTATTGGGTATTTTAACGTAGTGTTCTCATATGGGTTAGGAGGAAATGTTATCCCAGGAAATTGATAAAACACTACGTTACACGCCCCTAAAATTTTTCTTTGGACAATACTTCTATTTTTTTTAAATGTAGTATTAAAAATACATACAACCTTAAATTTTCTTTTCTACCACCTGCCTCTATTTTTATGGTGGTACGAATTTCGCTGGGTCAGCTAGTATATATATATATATTAGTGATGCGTGCGTATCCATCCCCTATGCCTTATGCACCACCTAATGTTAGGTTATTTCAGAAAATAAGTTTCACTTCAGATGTGTGGTCCGTACACAAGTTTTTTTTTCTAGTCTAATTCATAGCTCACCTTTTGACATAGCATTGCCTGGTCCGCAGGACTGATACCCAACTCAGGTTCCGTGATGTCACCAACTATTGGCACGATCTTGTTCAACTCCTGGGGTCTGTCTTTCCGCAAAGTTTCGAAGAGCTAGAGAGACAGAAACATTCTAATTTCATTACTGTATCGTGTCGTAGTATAGTTATAGGTTTTTTTTTATAATTAACTAGCTATGATACCCGGCTTCGCTCGGGAGTTAGAGTAAAAAATCTTTTACATATACCCAATTTAAATCATCGAGAGCAGAACCTCGAATTTTGCAATTTTTATTCGCAATTTTCAGCGTTAACTGCACAGCGTTCGCTCTTAGATTGGATCTTTATTTTTGAGTGTCTATACTGTTGGTCGCATATGACCTTTACAGCGTCACCGGGTTTGGGGACGGCGAGATCCTAAGGGGACCTCAAGCCGAAAATTGCATCACCCCACGGGGGGAGTCTCCTCTCCGTCTGGAGCCTCTCGACCATTCGAACCTGAGGGGGTCGGCTCAACTAGAGGGCGTCTCTGAGACTCGAACCTCGGCACTAGTTAGCCGATGTCGTGGGGGGCGGGGAAAAAAGGCCAAGGTACGTACCTGTACCTGGTATAGCAGGTCGTCGCAGTCTTATCCTACGGGTGCGGTGTCTACCTAATGCTAAGCTAGTGCAAGTATGCTAGCTGTGTAGTGTTGGTGTTTGTGGCCTGTGTGGGAGGAGTCAGCCGACGGCCTCGCGCCTGAGGGGGCCTCGCAAAAAATTTTTACAAGTTACCTATTTATTTTCGTTTCTCCTGGCCTGGCTTAGATAGCCGACCCCGAACAATTCGGGGATAAAGCGAAGCAGATGATAATGACTTTTATTATTTTCGAACACGTGCGTGATGGAAGCGAGTAGTACTTTACGGGTATTCAGAATCATCTGTCTGGCAACACTATTTTTGTAATTAAATTTCTATTTTTAATTTTTTTTGTCATCATTTGATTATCAACAATAAAACTCTTTTACTCATACGTTATTTTATAATTTGGCTCACTTAATTTAACGATTTTTTACTGCGAAGTAAAATAGGCCTCGCGAACTTGATGTCGCCGACGTCCACATGTGGTCTAGCGCCGCCACTGGTTACTGCGCCTAGTCACATGAGTTCCATTTTCTTCTTCTTCGGGTCCGGTCTCTCGGTGTCCTCGGTTGTCCGGGAGACTTTTTGTATGCGGTACTTTTAATCCGTCGTGTTCCTTAATTGATAAAGTTGTAACCGATCTAGTTTACCGGACAAAGTCCCTCGTTTGCGCCGGCCATTAGATTTACAGATTTCAGCCCAAGCCGTTCAGTCACAGTACTGATATTTGTACCGGAAGTAACGGTTGCCTCATTCTACAGCTTAAAGAAAAATATGAAATGATAATGGATGATGTAACCAAGGGAGTTTATAAAAAAAACAAGCAGAAAAAGAAAAGTGACTAGTTTGGTATTTCCACAGAACACAGAAATAGGTATTTCGATCCAAACGTATTGATAATGACTCAACAATCTTATCTACCAAAGAAATATGATAGTTATGATAGAAATATTGCAAAAACTCAAGTCTGTGTAGATGACTAATTGTAGTATTTATAAACAAGAATTAGCCATTACTTCTGCTGAAGAAGACCTCAGATGGGATGGATTATCTTGATTGGGATGATAAACTTATTATTTACCACTGGGGCACAGGTCTTCCCTATGGAAGGGCCATGATACACCACGTGGGCGCACTGTGGGTGGTGCTTACAATTGCAGATGTATCCGAGACCAGCGGCTTAACGTGCCTACCAAAGCACGGAGGAGCTCGAGAGAAAAATATATGATCACCCATCATATGGGTTCACCAAACATATCAACAGTTGCTGCTATGGGTTCACCAAACAAAGCAACAGTTGCTGCTATAGGTTCACCAAACAGCAACAGTTGCTGCTATGGGTTCACCAAACAGCAACAGTTGCTGCTATGGGTTCACCAAACAGCAACAGTTGCTGCTATGGGTTCACCAAACATAGCAACAGTTGCTGCTATGGGTTCACCAAACAGCAACAGTTGCTGCTATGGGTTCACCAAACATAGCAACAGTTGCTGCTATGGGTTCACCAAACAGCAACAGTTGCTGCTATGGGTTCACCAAACATAGCAACAGTTGCTGCAAGTTACTCAATGATCAATTTATTAGTTAGCATATTTTTCCCTAATTATTCATTGTAATTATGTCATTACTTGTTGATAAAACGATTAGTGACATGCGTTCAGACTTTAGATTTCCGATTATTTTGATCATATCTCTATCATCATCTGAATAGGTGTTAGTGTGTCATAATATATGAAACTATGAAAATGTGTATTTAACATGAATATTGAAGGTGATTTCACTATTCTCGCAAAAAAAAAAGGAATTGATAACATTACGTCACGTGAAACGTCTACGATTGGCGGAGCCTAAAATGACGTCACCTGCTTGTAAACATGCTGTTGAAGTGACATCACTTTGTACTGTTTAACGTTTTAATCAGAGTCGTGTGACGTCACTTGCCTGTAAGACGTCATATTTCTAGAGCGACGTTTTCACGGCATACATATTTTAAAAACTTTTTTTTTACTGATATACGCAACAGAAATATAAATATCCACTTTTTTTGGGGTCCCTATACAGTAATAATAAATATATGAACGTTTCAAAAACTTGTGTAATAACCCTTTGTCCATTGTTCAAATGGGATACGTTATCATGAAAAAGAAATCGATGAAAAAGAGAAGGAATTGAATTTTATTGCAGTTGTTTCTTGCTAGTGATATTCCAAATGAAAGAGTACAAATTCTAAATTCAAATATAAAGTAGCTTTTAATAATAACAAAATGTTTAAATAAATGTTAGTCCGACTTGATTTCCATTCTGTTTTTTCCCTACCAGACTTCCGTTATAGAATCTCATCATGTCCGAGATTATATGATGTGATTTTCCCCATCATGAAATAGCACCGGCTACTACTACCCATTATCCCGTGGAATCTCCCAAAATCCCGGTAATAATACAAAAACAGTTCAAGATCCCGTACTTATACATACTCGCTATCTTGTGCTGTTGACCAATTCTCATGTATTAGGTGGCACAGTACTATTACCGAAGTACCAATGTTTTTAAAAACATTGGTACTTAATTTCTTCGTCTCTTGGAACAGAGTTTTTTACTGTTGTTATGTAGAAATAATAATAATAAATAAATATTTTCAACACTGACATCAATTAGCCTAGCCCCAAAGTGTATTCCTATATAACTATACTTATATTATGTACAATATATGTATTCTATCCGTTACCCTAGTATCCCATAACACAAGCCTTATAGTGCTTACTTTTGGCACTAGGCTAATTGGTGTGTGTTGGAAATATTTATTTATAATTATTATTTCTATTATTTAATATATTAAACATCCATGACTGGAGTACAAATGCACGTATTCATCACACAAACATCTGGCTCCACCGGGATTCGAACCCGGGACCTCTCAAGTCGGCGACACCATGAAACCCGGCGTACAAACCACTCGGCCACGGGTCACGGCTACTTCAACAAACACCTTTGTAATATAGGTATTTCTGACAGTCTGTGCAGAGCCTGCCTGGAGGCGGATGAGACGAGCGCCCATGTCCTACTCCAGTAGCCGTGCAGGGGCGTTGCAAGACAAAGGACTTCTCTAATGGGAAGCCCGAAGACAATAGTAGAGGCCTGCAGCAACATTCGGGGACTGCTGAGCTTTCTGGAGGAGCTGGGATGGCAGGACTGATGCCAATCCCCACGCAAAATAGGAACTGGGTGTCGAGTTGCGGAAACAGCCCGCCGTACTACTAAGACTAAGACCACTCGGCCACGGAGGTCATTAAATATAAATAAATAAATATTTCCACCACTCACACCAATTAGCCCCAAAGTAAGCACTATAAGGCTTGTGTTATGGGATGCTAGGGTAACGGATAGAATACATAAAATTAAGGTACAAAAACCTTTTTAAAAACAAGCTTTTATTCAAATGCGCTAAAAAGAAAAAAAAGAAAATTTAGTTAAAGTTTGTTTCTAAATAGATTTTCAAATTTTAGAAGTCCGCCATATTGGATTGAGAGTGACGTCACATTTTTTTCGAGTTACTCTCAGCAAGCCCTTTAATTTGATACCCATATTGTAGGAATGCATTAAAAATGATTGGTCCGCCATTTTGGGTATGCCGCCATATTGGATTTAGAATGACGTCACACTGTTAAGCATGCATTGTCATCCGAACTGAACGAGCATACCAAATTTCAGCTTAATCGGTTGAGGGCAAGTGCTTTAAAATTGAGTTGTAAGATTTGACCGTAACAAACATACATAGCAAGTTAAATAAAAGCTTGTAATATACTGTACATATATAAGTATATTTATATAGAAATAGATATTAAACATCCATGACTGGAGTACAAATGCTCGTATTCATCACACAAACATCTGCCCCCACCGGGATTCGAACCCGGGACCTCTCGAGTCGGCGACACCATGAAACCCGGCGTACAAACCACTCGACCACGGAGGTCGTCAATAGTACGACATAGAAATGAGTCACCCAATTTCTTTGTTAGTGTAGTGAATACCTACCGGTGATTGAGTCAGCTCTGTGAGTCGGGACGCAACATCTTGCCCTCGCTTCGGTCGCATTAATAGATAAATCTTCTTGATTTTCGGACAACTCCTTAATAATTTCTCGACTAGCACCTGCGGTAAAAAAAAACAGAACTAAATAAGTAAAATCATCATTATTAGCTTATAAGTCTCCGCATTGGTGGAGCACAGACCTTCTCTACGGATGGATTAAGGAGACTGGGTCGTGACCCACCACGCAGGCCCAGTGCAGATTGGTGGGTGCTAACGACTGCAGATGCAGCCGGGACCGGCTTCTTAACGAGCTTTAAGAGCACGAAGATGATCTGGATAATAAGATTTTTGGTCACCCATCCAATGACCGACCACTGCGAAAGTTGCTTAACAGCGATCGCAGCCCAATGCGCTAACCACTTGCGCAATCGAGATCCTCAATAAGTAAAATAATTATACTATTAATTATTCTTGCACCTTTGATTTATTTTAGAGTTAAACGTAAGTTTTATACAGTTTTCCATGTAACCGTTCCGTACTACGAGTACCTTTAAAATAGGACGCAATAGATGGCGCTGTGCCAAAATATTGAAACCGCTCAATCACGGTGTCAATAAAAACTACTGCGTTATATAAGAATACTTTGGTATCGCAAGCGTCTATAGTTCTGGAGGCTGCTTGCCAACACAGAATGGCACTATATTTCATTGACACTCTTTTAGCATGAAAATAAAGCGTGTGCGTCTCGGGACGTACGACAGAAGTGATAACTTAAACTTATTTAAGCGGCGCTGCGGGTAACAGTGAGATAGGAGAAGCCTGCTTACCGCTGCCTTAAGCGTAAGAGGAAGGGCAGGCAGACAAGCGCCGTAACGCGTTACGTAACGAAGCTGTTTACGGTCCCATAAGAAATTATCACTTCAAAAATAAAGCTCCATAAAAACTACAACTCCCCGTGTTTATCTATGGATGCCGTCGTCAGCCCCCCCCCCCCCCCCCCCCACACACACACCTCCAATAAGCGCGTCGTTATCGGTCTCGACCTATATGTCTAATTTTCCTCTTTCAAGACAGTTGCCAATTTCATTGAAATGTCGCTCAGTCCACTATGCAAGTTTCGCGTTATATAAGCATTACTTACATTGATGAGATATACAAAAGCCCCCAAATATCCAGTAAACAATTTTCAAAATACGTGAGAATGTTTTAAACAGTATACACATGGTTCCATCATTAATACACGAGCTCTTTAGTCCGTAAAATCTCATTTTCCACAAAAACAAAAAGCGCCAACTCACCTTTCCCATGAACCCCGTGCCACCAGTGACGAAGATGGATTTGTCCGCGTAAAAGTCAGCCACGGGGACATAGTCGTGCCCCTCTGACCCACCGTTGCACCAAGCCATGTCGATTCCGTCCGCACCGGACACAAACTCAAGGCATCAATAAATCACGGCGCGTGATTTACAAAAATAATTATTATTTATATAAAAAAAAAATCTTCTTCTTGAACAATCAAACGGATCTATCGACACCGCACTTCATGGCTGCTCGCTCCTATCTGGAACAAATGAAACTGCAATTGTAACATTGTAACAATAGGTGTAATGGTGAAAACTTCACACGAACATAGAACTTTATTTAAACAAGGATTCAAAACAATGAATGAAATATGTTATTAGAGTTAGTTCACAGAATATGGCTATGGAACCTTTATTACGAGCATGGTAATCGAGAATCGGTTTCCACGTGAAATTTTTGCATAACCTTTTTCACATTTATTAGGTAGGTTGGTAGGTCCTCGGCTAGGCCGGGAGGCTGCTAGGTGCGGAGACAGGAAGAATCCCTAAACGGTGATCCCGCTGCTTCGCGCTAAGCAGCTTAGAGGGTATTCGCAGGGTTTATTAGCGTATATTATGCCGTAAGAGTTACGGGGTCCTCAGTGGGTAGCCACTGCTGGGGCTTGTAAGGCTTGCTGGAGCCAGGTGTGAGGTCCGTTCGGCGGTGTGCCTCTTAAAGGCGCCGTCGTCTGTAAACACTGTTTTTTGCCTGCCTATAAAAAAGGGTAGGTAGGTAGGTACCTATTATTACAAACGCTTCCCATTGTAAATCACATTATAATGAATGAATGATCACATTATTGTACACCATGAAATTTTAAATTACAATTAATAAAGACTATTACATAACTAGCTGTGCGCCGCGGTGTTGCCCGCGGGATATTTTCCCGCAGTAAAACGTAGCCTATGTGTTAATCCAGGGTGTCAGCTAACTCCATACCAAATTTTATTAAAATCGCTCCAGCCGTTTAGGCGTGAAGAAGTAACAAACATATACACTCAGACACTCACAAACTTTCGCCTTTATACTATTAGTGTGAGAGTACAAACGGTGGCCTTATCGCTAAGAAGCCATTTCTTCCAGGCAACCGTAGGTTAACTGAACTGTTGCATAGAGTGGGAAGTAGATAGTGTCATTTAAAGTGAAATTACTTTTAATAATACTTATAAATAATTATGTTGAACAAAAAATAAAATACAATGAATCCTTCATTAAGTGAATCAGTTTTAAGAATAATCAGATTAAGTGCTCCCCAAAGTTCAGGATTTGCGAGACTCCTTTACTGTAAATATAATATCTGTAGCTAATTGAATAATAATCATACATCATAGAGGAGCTCGACGGCGCAAGTGGTTAGGTTAGGTTAGGTTAGGCGTTCGGCTGCGATCGTTGAGCCGTTGGTCCCAGCTGCATCTGCAGTCGTTAGCACCCGCCAATCTGCATTGACACCGCGTGGTGGGCCATGGGCCAATCTCCCTATTCCATCCATAGGGATGGCCTGTGCCCCAGCAGTGGAGACATTAATAGGCTTATGACGATGATGACTCAACATCACCAGATATAAGTAACCACTACAAGTTATCCCCTTTGTAAATCAAATTGTATCTTTCTTTCACTCTCAAAACTTTGAACAAACTTACTTGTAACCTATGAAATAGCTAGGGGTAACGTCTCTTAATAAGTGCAACTAGACTTCTAATTGCATACATTTGCACACGAATTTCGCTTCTATGACAACGTAATAAAGACGCTGTCACCGTAAAATTGCAAACAGGATAACCTCGAGACTTTTTTGGCAATACTGAACTTTATTTCAGAAACTTTTAAGTTTTTTTTTCCGGTGACAATGGGTTCCTTTTCTTTAAAATCTATTAGAATACTTTTAAGGATTGCATTTTCAGTCAATGAAAGGAAATTTACTTTACCTTATTAAATAAAACTAGTTTTAACGGATTAATGCACGAACATTATTTATTTATTGACGTTTCGCAGCCTTTTCAGGTCTGCATCATCAGAATAGGTAACGATTTTTTATTTACTTTGTCGAGCTACCCTCGAAAGACTTTTATTGAGCGCTCGGATATTTCATTGGAAGACTTTTAAAATTTTATTGTCTATGTATGAATTTATTAGTTAATAAAGAAACTTTATTTCAAAGTCTTTTTGTTAATTTTTGAGTTTATTTATTTGACCCTAACTACCGTAAACTACCACCGGTTCTAAAATTGGGAGACCTTTCTGAGAAGAACCGGCGAAACAAACTCAGAGAGGCTTTCTATCTCCTTCTTATGTTAAATCATGCAAACAAAAAGAACTAATAGTATCCGTTGGTCTTGAAGTGTGTGCTCGGGTTTGGGATTTTATCTGTTGTATAATGGGTTTCCAAGCTGGTGGTATATACCAACCATCTTCCCTATTGAAATTTGGATATTTTTTAATCTCAATAGCCTCGCGTATCATTCTAGGAATGAATCGTTGCTCAGTTGCAAGGATCTGTGGTTTATCAAATATAATGCATGTTCACACACTGCATGTGCATTAATCCGTTAAAACTAGTTTTATTTAATGAGTGATGTGCGTGAAAACCTAAGAGACAAATATGTTTACCTTATTATCTTATTCTCAACTATGCTGCTGCTGTACTGAAGCGTTCACAGGTCTCCCAAACCAAATTAAATTGACAACAACGTTCAGATCGCAGTTTCACGGACAAAATCATAATGTTTTCTTCGCAACAGGTACATATTTCGATAAATAAAATCACTAAACAACGCAGACGACGACTGAGTAAGTACTTTTCTTCCGATCATAGATAAAAATTCTTAATGTCTTGTGACATTTTTCTTGTGGGCACTTCAATATTTTTTTTATAGAACCAGTTACATAAGATCTTGGAAAAAAAAGAAGGTTGGTACAAAGAAGTGTTTACGTTTTTACTCGAACCAAAGAATTAACTAACTAATTATGTTAACCACGGACCTGAAGACAACTTACAGAAGATCACAGAAAAAAAATCACTATCTTTTGGTGGTATTGTGTTTCAGTCGAGGAATATGGTACATGGGCTCTACGGGGTAGGGGTTTTTCAAACCAATTTTGTACAGGTTTTAACAGTTTTTTTTTAGCTTAGTATTTTATTTAACTGTTTTTATAACATTTGTCTATTTTCATATATCGTATTTCTATTTTTGCTGTATTCTTATTTTATATCGTGTCTTAGCTGTTGTTTTTTCTCAACTGCTTGCTGCTCTATGTTGGCTATATATTCTAAAACATTTTTTTCTATCAACTCAGATATTTTATTTATTTTTAAACTCTGTTTTATTTCATATTCGAGGTTCAATCTACTTAACTGGTGTTTAGGGCACTCCGTTATCAGGTGTAAATGCTTGGTATATTATGTGGCTGGATTGTATTTCCCTAATTATTTTATAAGCTGTATGTGTATCTGCGAAGAAAGCTTTGGTTGATGAAGCAGTTTGCGCTTTTAAGTATCTTTCTTGCCACATGTCGACACTTCCTTTGAGCAATATCTTCTTGATCGGGGTAGGGGATTGTGTCAGGGTAGGCAACGGCGCGTTTGATATTTTGACATCGCAAGCGTCTATAGGCTATGGTGGCTGCTGACCAACAAGCATCGCAATTGGCGGTCCTTTTGGCCTAACCATTGGCTTATAAGCACTCACTCTTTTTGTGGTAACCTCTGTCTTCTTTCCATCTATCAACTCCCTTTCTTTTCTGTAATACTCTAACTTCCTTTCAGCTACTCATTTTCTTTCCCAGTTTTCCCTTCTATCCCTGACCGAATCCGGAATCGGCCTCGGGTAAATGTGAGGGACTAATACCCAATATACATCTTTCTTAAAATACTTTCACTATTAAAATGTCAAAAGAACTAAATTTCTTAAACAAGAAATATACTCAAAAGATCGTATACTAATCTTCTACCCCATCTCTCTCTCTCCCCATATTTAAGAGCTATGCTCTTCTCGGTGCAGCCTATGCATTGTTTGAGTCAATTTCACAGTCTAAAGAGTTGGCAGAGAACAGAGGGAGATGGCCCCTTGCCATCCTCCAACTCTTTGAGTCCCCTGTACGACTCGACGCCAACCTTTTCCTTAATTTGCTTGGTGTAGGCTATCCTCAGTCTTCCTCTTCCCTTCTTTCCCATAGAGCCTTGAAAACCTACCAAACCGGGAATAACACAACACTGCCAAAAACCAGCCTGGATTCGCCATTCTGAGTACCTACGATGGGCATTCTCAGAACCTTAATGTACTTGAAATTGTAAGGTTGTGACATCACACTTTCCAGCCCAGAGTCTCTTAAAATTTCTAATGTCTATTCAGTAACACCATACATATAGAAAGCTAGCCTTGACGATAATTCTAGTGCCTAAGGGCCAACGCAGACTGGTGGAGTAACCTACGATAGCGACGAAAAGCAATAATTGTTTTTTTCGAATAATCAAAGGTTTTTAAAGTGAAACTTCTTTACGCACGCTTGACTTGTGGGGTAAGCTGGTGGAATGCGTTACGCGTTACTAAAAATGTGTTCGGGCGAGGCGAACGGGAGTTGAGTGGGGGATATAAGCAAGAGCAAGCAGTGCGCGCGCATATTTTCTTTCTTCAGTTCTCTTATAGCTAGTAAATAAAATATGTTTCACTTCAGTCTTGTGGTCATAATAAGCACACTCGTTTTTTTCAAGGTAAGTGTTTTCTGTTGTTCGTAGACATTGTCATCAGAACATACTGAGCGTTTCCAATCCAATTGCAAAGCAAATACGGACAGACTATTTTCAAGCTATTTGTAAAATGTGTGCCCAAATGAAAGACAAGTAGTTTCAGTTTAAGTAATTTAGATGTTTACTGCTCGAAATCCAATAAAGTCAAAGTCAAACATTTATTGCATATCATAATTGTACAAAAGATGGTAGGTATATAATATAATCGACCGAATTATGTTACCCATTTGGGCATAGCAAAGTAAATTGTATTAGCGTGCAACGGACATTCTATAAATATAATTATAAATAGTGGATTATTTATTATTCCTACTTTTACTT